GAAAAAAAATACTTTGCCTTTGTCAACTCTCAGTGAATTCTAATGGTCATTTAGGACCTTTGTTAGTGTTGCCCGGCCTTACTCTGTGGTTGTAGCATACCCTTGAGTAACCCTGTCCTTTTACCTGCATGCAGGAATTTCAAGGTCATACGTGTATCAAGGAGTTTCCCTCGATTGTTGGTTGATGTTCTTTATCAATACAGGTCAAAATCTGGGTATGTCAAACTAGAAGACAGATCAATATGTATTCCTTCCATTCAAATAATGCTTGAGGCGTTGTCCCATTATACTTCTGGCAGAGCAGCGTGCTTGCCTTTTTCTTCTTTCCCAGGATAGATGATCTTTCCTCACGGGTGAAATTTTGGGGGTGAGGAGTGATCATGAACCCCTTTGTAAATCTGATTAATCTGGGCACACTTCATCTTGAAAGAATACTCATCCACTTCTGTATCAAACATATGACATGTATGCAAACTTGGAATCACAGCCTCCTGACCTATTGGAGGCTCAGAGCTGCCCATGTGAAATAGTTAATAGTAAGAGTTAATAGGAGGAAGTTACCTAATGATAATTCCCATTTCAGTTTTTCATAATCTCTTGTGTTTTGACAACACTCGAGATTTCATATTAAACAGATCTATGCAGTATATTCAGTGTATGGCTAACTTCTGGTTACTATCTTTTTTACTGGATTATGCGCTCAATCCAGAGTTCATAGATCTTGCTACTCGCTGACTGATCTTGTCCAACTGGGAGGCACCAATTTATGATGCTAAAATGCTGGTATTATTAGATAAGGCAGTAAAGTGCTGTATGAGTTCACAGAACGTGGAAACAATTCTTATTTTTGGCAAATGCCTTGTTCTACTCTATAGTTAGTTTGCACTGTGACCTTTGAAAAACTTTACTTCAGAAAGGGTCCCAAGAAGTCATTGGAAAGATTGCAGTAGTAAACTTGCATATGTGGAAATCTTGTTAAATTCAGAAAGCATGCATCATAAAGTCTAAATGGTATTTCTGAATGCTCTTCATTTCCATTAAGCCTAAGCTGGAAAGAATCAACTTTAGGGTGTGTCATTTTTCTTAAGTTTGTTGAGGGTCAACTTTGTTTTCTAAGATTCAAGTTTGCAAAATCATAGAGAGCAAGGTAGAGCCAGAACAGTGGGGCAGTCCCTTTTTTTCTGCACAAGTAATAGCGTTTAAGCAATGCATGCATTTTGAGGGGGTGTAACAGGGGAGATGGCCAGTGGAAATGTGATGGTCTTTAGCAATAACATGATGAGAGACAGAGTTTTATGTAGAATTTTGGCATCAAATAATTATATGTCTAGCGAAGTTGCCTCTCTCTCTTGAATTCTAAGAGCTGCCAACTATGATGTCTCTTTCCTTCTTTCCCTAATAGTTTTATCTCTGAAACCCTGTTCTCCCACTTCTCAGCTCTTTCCCAAATCTGAAGTGTCTGGGTCTGAACTCAATCACTGTTCTTTAAGTCTAACAGCTTTCCATGATTCAGACTTTAAAAATGGCAAAATACAAACATTACCACTACTTCTTCCAAATTCAGTAAGAGGAAACTTACATTCCTTTTAAACTCACAACATAAATAGTGCATCAAAATAATATTGCTAGAATTCAAGAGGTATTTGTGAATACATTTATTTATTTTTCACTCACTGTATATCAAAGCATTCTTACTATGGGCCATCTGCTAGGACAGGAAAACCTTTCCACTGGATACTACTGTGAAGTCGCCATTTTGTTCATTTTACAAGTATAGCAAGAGATTGATGTTAGGATTTTTTCTAGTAAAAAATCTGGCATATATGACATAATGAATTTGATAGAAACCCTTTTCCATTTCTCCAGTAGGCTTTTGTGCCAGTAAGTTAGACACTGAATTCTCCCCACATGTATTCTTGGACTGTGCTAGCTATATCTTGCATGGTGGCCAGACTTCACTGAGATGGTAGGTGGAGAGTAGTTGACACTCAGGAAAGACAGAACATGGAGCCTGATGCACACATGACATGTAGGAGGTACCCTCTTCTCGCCTCACTGGGCTCTGTGCTAAGCTTCTTGAAGGTAGGAGTTAATTATGTTCCCTTTTCATCAATGCATAGTATCTGGAAAGGGCTTCAATCTTATTTGTTGCCTGAATATGTGTTGAGTGAATGAATGGAACTATAGGAATTCTTGAGAATAGAAACATTTATGACAAATCTATTTGAAATTCAAAATTTCATTAAACTCTGTAAAAATTAAAATAATTACTTTGGGTATTCCTGTTACTTATCTAGTTCTTGCCCTTCATCTGAAGTTTACATGTCAGTCTGTCCATATTTATGTAAAGATTATAGTATGCTGAAATTATCCTGAAGAAGCCTCCCCAAATACAATTTTTTTTGTTTGGTTGTTGAATCTTTTCCTTTAAACTAGTTTAGGAAAAATGCAAGTTACTTAAAAATGCAATCCAGTTTTAAATTATTTAATTTCATTCTGATTCTTTACCAAATCGAAACATAGTATGACAACATACATCTGACTGTTACTGTCATCTATTCTGATTTTGAGAAATGTTTCAATACATAAAGTTGTGTACATTTAGAATTTGATGAACTTAGAAAATCAAATTTAAAAGATGTGGTAATAAATATATGAATTTAACACTGATCACATTTTAAACTTGATTTAAAAGCTCTTTATAGCAATAGCTAAGTAACTGGTGAATGTTGAAAAATACAAAGGAAAACCTTATTCCTCGGTTTTCCTTGAATCCTTTTATACTTTTTTTTTTTAAACCGGAATTTTATTTTATTTTATTTATTTTTTTATTACAAAAGTTTATTTTTACATCATTTTTGTACATTTTTTTTCCATCTCAATTGTAATCCCCGCGGGTTTCCCATCACCAAGTCACCCATGTGCCATCACCATAAAACCGTGCATTTCCCTCCCCCCACCCCGTTATTGATCCCATTCCCCACTCCACCCCCACAAAATGTCTCTGGTATATGGTTGTTCATTATTTTTGTTATTTTCCACCTGGTCCATTATACTCCTGCTATGAGTGAATCCTTTTATACTTTTAAGAAGCCAGAGTAGCAAGAACAAACACACCTGAACAGCACTGCAAAAGAGGCATTCAGGCACCTCTTCTGAGTGGTGGGTGTGAGTGTCCCACGGTTTGCTGTTGATAGGCTTTTCTTTAAAAACAGATTTCCTTACCAACACCAGCTCCCCCAAATACACCCTCTGTCCCAAAGAGGCCTAGTAAGAGCATCTTCAAGGTTATAATTGGGCTGTTAGCCTTCTGAGTGCTGAGGAAATATGCAGATTGTCTTTAACATCACATCTTATTCATGACACATATTCCCTGAGTGGGTGTTAGGTGGCTGTCATTGGCCAGGTGCTCTGGGAGACTTGGGTAGATAAGATTCACTCACACCCTGACATTATGTCTCTTCTGTCTCTGTTACCTCAAGAAATGCTAACACACATTCCATGAGAAAGGGTCCCATTAGCTCTGTAGGTTTGGTGATAGTGCATTCTTTATCTCCATCTTGTTGATGGGAGAATTCTTTCAATAAAGAAACCTGTAACTTTTTTTAATTCAAGATTTTCCTAGTTTGTTTGATCACAGGATCTTTTGTGTCATGTGTAAATGTTCTCCAGCACACGGTTAGACCTGTACAGAGATGATTGTGACAAGAGTGTATGAGATCATCAGGGTGGGAGTGATGGGGCTTAGGAGGGAGAGTGTCCCACAAATCATTACACCTTAAATCACGTCTTAAGTGATGGTTTATAAAAGATGGGATGGGAAACTTAGCTTAGGGCTATACTGAAGGAACAGAATGTACAAAGCACCGATGTTTGACAGAACAGATTGTGTTTGAGAAAATCCCAAGGAGTTTTGATTTTATCATTAAACCTAAGAAACTACACCAGGGGCCCATTCAGGGTCCTGGCAAAGTCTCAGCATCTCATACAACATGAATGAACAGGGAGGAAGTGGTTCTGAATTTCATGCTCATATAAGATCTGCCATGTTTTTTTTTTTTAAAGATTTATTTATTTATTCATATAGAACTGGGGTACATCCAGAGATGAGGAGGGTGAGAGGATTTACCAGAGACAGAGTGAGGAGCAGAACAGGCAGATCGATGAAGTACACTGCTGAGGGGAGCAGCAGGGAGACAGGAGAGGTTTGCCGTGCCATGTGGTCACCTCTGGGGCAGGCGGGGATCGAACTCATGCAGAAGTGGCTTTAGTTTCTCAGTGCTGTGCTTTAACTCGCTGCGCCACCAGGAAGGGCCAGGTCTGCCATGTTTTATATTTAAAACTGAATTTCTACAGACAAGAATTTTTCAAAAACTAACAAAAATATGAATTCAGGTTATGGCTGAATCATCTATGTTGAAGAATTTTTCAGAAACTAACAAAAATATGAATTCAGGTTATGGCTGAATCATCTATGTTGGTATTTTTTGGTAGAAAACTTATTTTGCATACTTAACAATTTTAGTGAACATGATGCTACTTTTAACAGTGTCCCACATTCTAAATTCCTTGTAAATACTGCACCTAGGACTATATACTATTCCATTTAGTGGATCAACTCCTGCATACTTACTGTCTTCAGTGTTTTGTAATCATACTTACAGTTGGTTTCTATCTTTATTATTATAAATGCTTTGTAGGTATGACTCTAGAATTAGAACTAATGGATCAGAGTAGCCTCTTGATGCATGCTGTCCTATTACTTCCCAAAGCACTGTGGTAATTTACACTGACAGTGTATCTAAACATTTATTAGGTCAAGCATTATCCTTTTTTTTTAAAGAGACAAAAATGACAAACGGACTTTGTTGGTTCAATAGCTTATGGGCCGTGTTTTTGTTTTAATGGTAATCAGCATTTCATGAAATCACCCTTTAAAATACTTTGTGTAAGCAAGAGTATGAATTTTCATTTGATGTGAAGTTCCTCTTTCTTTTGAGGTATCCGTCACGAATTGAGAAAATTGATTATGAGGAGGGCAAGATGCTGGTCCATTTTGAGCGCTGGAGTCATCGTTATGATGAGTGGATTTACTGGGACAGTAACAGATTGAGACCTCTGGAGAGGCCTGCGTTGAGAAAAGAGGGGCTGAAGGACGAAGAGGATTTCTTTGTAAGTAGCCAACTTTTTTTCTTTGCGAGATCTGTAATGCTACATTTAAAATGGAACTCTGCTGCATGCTACAAAAGTTTGTTTTTATTTATTATACATGGTACTGATCTTCAAAGTTGTTTAAAATAGGATTTTAAAGCCGGAGAAGAAGTTCTGGCTCGTTGGACAGACTGTCGCTATTACCCTGCCAAGATCGAAGCTATCAACAAAGAGGGTGAGTGTTGGAAATACTCAGAGATGCAAAGTGTATTACTAGTAAAATTTAACTGCATTTCTCATTTTATAGAATGTCTGTAATGGTGGAATATTTAATTCAGTTAAATACTGAAATATACTTGTTATATATAGATGCTCTCATTGTTTTGTACTTTGTGCATTTCCTGCCAGTATTCTTCTTGGGAGCTCTTAATTTGTTATATTTTGCATAGGCTAGGATGATACATGATATGTGACATCAATAAAATGTTTACTTTTGCAGAAGTTAAGAGTTGATTAAAATTTTTCAGCTTTCATTTCATAGGTTTCTATTAAGTGAACTTTATTTCTACTTCTCTATTTCAGTTTGTTGGCTAAATTATTTTAATGATCATGTCAGCCAGAGTATGAGGAAAGGTTGAAGATACAGGAACATTACAATCAGCTCAACTTGCAAGTGAAATACAGTACACTATTTTCTGAGAAAACAATATGAACTTAATGAATTTGAGGAGTTCCTTTACTGCATTTTTCTTCCTGACCCTTTTTTCATAGTTTCCATATATAATTGAGAGTTCATTTTTCTGATAGTGATGCAATACTAATATGAGCAACCTAAGTAACAATATGAGCAATATAAGTAACAGAACCAGCCAGAAAGCTGAAAACCACAGAGAAAGCAAGTGTATTCATGTGGCATAAGTAAGACTACCAAGTTTATTTACTAGATAATTAATTTGAAAAGCAGAACTTGGAGATGGATTAATTTAGAAAGGCATGAGACTCAATATTTTAATTATTATTGGAAATAGGCTTATATTTCTCAAATTTCTTACGTAAAATCTCTCTTAAAATAGTATGAAATACTTGAAATGTATTTTTTAAGTCAGTTCATTAGTTTTCTGTTACATTTATTTCTTACACCTGACCTCATTCAATCTTTTTACGGAAGAAATATATATTGAGTGGTGGCTTCTTTTCAAGAAGAGCACATTTTATCTCAGTAAGAGGGCATTTCCTTTGAATTGAATATTGAAAGACAAACAAGCTAACTAGATTAAGAAGGGCTAATAATCATTTTCTGGCAGAAAAAAAAATCATATATGCAGAAGAGTAGATAGAAGAGGGCATGCCATTTTTAAGGAGGTACAAGTTTGATGTGGCTGGGGTAAAGGATTCCTTTAAGGAAAGTAGAAGAGCAGAAAGTTTGAATGGAGAAACAAGGATCAAGTACATGAAGTATCTTGTAATCTTGCGAAAGAGTTTAGAGGTGATAGGAAAACTGGGAGGGATGTAAGCAGAGTATTCAAGCACAATAAATAAGTATTTAAGAACAATAAACTTAAAAATATATTTCTTAAAAAGAAATATATTAATGATGTTAGGTGTGAAAACTCCTAATTCTCTAGCAAGAAACTACGATAACTTTAAAGAACTGATCCCAGTATATTGTTTTAGTGACTGGAAGTTACAGTATGAGTGTGGCTTTATTACCACTACTCGCCCCACTGCCAGGCAGGGTGGGTGCACAGGCTGTGCCAGTGCTGCCCCTGCGTCACTGTGAACGCCCGCTCCGGAGGGCCAGGCCCCCGGGCTCATATTCCAGTCTTGTCCTCACCTGGGCTCTCCATGAGTCTAAGCCAGACCTAGTGGAGTGGTGATAGTAACTGTTGGGGAAGGGACAAGTAATGCTTCAGTTTTGTTGGGTAATACAGGCAGTGAACATTAAACATTGTCCCCATACTAATTACAAGCAGTTTAAGTGGGCCGCTCCCTTCTGTGCTTTAAGCAGCTTGGAATATGCATATGTCAAGGTCTGCAAACAAGTACAGGCCTTCCGCAGCCTGCCTCACTTGTCCTTGGGCCTTTATATCGCAAGTGAAGCTTGTGTTAGTGGCAGGGTGATGGTTGTGATTGTGATTTCTGTCATTTCAAAAAAAGTAAGAGTGGGCCCTTATTGGCAGATGTAATTTGTTTTTTAAAAATCTCCAGTGAAAGTATTGATTTTGTGATACCTATATATAGAAGTAAAGAGAAGGAACAAATTAGTATTGCCGGGAGTGGTCAGAACATTCTCACATTCTTGGTGGGATTTGAAGAGCTGATCCTTGAAGAATGGGTTGAAATTAGGAATGGAAAAGGCATAGTAGCAGAGGAAACATCCTGCGCAGGAGCAGGAGAGAGGCGGCTCCGTCAGCCATGCGAGGAGCCTGCACTGGTTAGGCATGCCATGTTGATGGTAGGGTGAGGTATACCTGTATTCTGCATTCTGGCGCTTGCAGAATGTTCCCAGCCTCTGTATCCTTGCTATTCAGCTGACACTTTTCCATAACCAGTATGGATAATTTATTCTGCCATATTGTGCATTACATTAATTATTGGGAATTGTAGGCAGTATGTTATCACTGAGATTGCAAAGAGTCTTTGTACCTATATCATTGACTGGTGCCAACTTCAGTGACAGTAATAACAATGATCACATTTATTGCTTATACTTCATTTGTAAAGATCTAGTTTATCTTGCCTTTGTTTATATAGAAAATGTTGAAATTTCCGTACATATAAAATCTGTGTAATTAGCCTATAACAGAATGTAGCTATGCTTAGCAGTAATCATGCAAAAAGAATCCTGAGATTTGAGAGGAGCTTGAAATGGCAGGAAAGGCAATGAATGGCGCATGGCTCAGGGGCATTAGCTGCCAGAGCACCACCGACTGACTCTGCATGCTTTCCTGGAGTCAGGTTCTCATTTGGAAAGGAAGGCTTCTATTTCATTGATCTGCAAAGTGTTTTCTAGATTTAAAGCCTGGGGTCTTAATTCTTACTTGCCAATTCATTAATATTGCCAAAGAACTATTCCTTTCCAAGAAGGTGTTTTTTCCTTGTATCAGCTTTTTCTGGTATTTGTTTGGAAAGGAGCTTTCAATAATTCCTATAGAAATATCATATGTTTTTGTAAATGATGATTTTAACATTTGTTGGGCAAATTAGAACATACCTGCCATGTTATTTAAATGTGTACTTACACTATTACAAAATAATTTTTAAAGTCCTTCAGTAAAAATCAAAATTGCAGGCAGTTAACTTACCAAGATTTAATATGTTTTGTGTACTTTTTAAGGTAAATCAGAGTTGATTTTCAAAGAAAAGAGAAAGTAAACATAATTAACTCTATGGAAGCCTCAACAGGGGTATGTGTTTGCAGTTATTGCAATCACAGAGTATTCTCATTGGTATTACTTGCTAGATTTCAAATGTTGTTGTAAGATTGAATGTTTTCTAATGATTCTAACTTGCTCCTGTTTTAGGAACATTCACAGTTCAGTTTTATGATGGAGTAATTCGTTGTTTAAAAAGAATGCACATTAAAGCAATGCCGGAAGACGCTAAGGGGCAGGTAAGAGTGTTCAGCATTCCTAGCTACCCAAAGGGGTGGCTTCTTGCCGGTGACCAATCAAAAATATCTGTATTGTGAAATGAACTAATTGTAGGGTTATGTGCTGATAGCCCCAAATAGCAGCAAGAAAAAGAAACTTAGAATGTAAAATAAATCATACACTTGATTTTTGCTTCTTTGGTTTTAGACCTGCTAAAGTTATAGGTCACTAGTTTCTGTTCCAGGTGAAATCCCAGCATCCACTAAGCTGGTGTTGTCCTATCGACCCAGCTGGATCGTGTAACCAGTCTATGGGAAGTGAGGTAAGTGCCTTTTCTTTCATTCTGTTTTGTTTTTCCTGGTTATATAGTATCATTTAGAAAGTGAATTTTTAGTATGAATTTTTATATTGAGTTTCTCATTGTCTTCTTTCCTTCTGTAAAACATAGTCATTGATTTTCTTTTAAAAGGCGCTTACCTGACACTCTAGACTGCTGCAGGTAGGGCTCTCTGAGTCATGTGAGGTGAGCCTTGTGTCACCAGCTTTGTCACTGCTCAAAGCTAGCGTGAACGGTAAGCATTTGAAAGAGAATCTGGGATTAAGTCAAAAACCACCATTACATTGGTTGAATGTTTCCCAAATAGTGGAAAGAAAAGGTGCCAAAGAAATTTAAAATATTTTCTTTTATGTTCTGCTGTTATTTGGGATTTTCAGCACCTGGACCTACAATTAATTTTAAGAAATTAAAAGTAATTTGTAAAAATGTCTAACATACTGTGCAGTAAAAAAAGTATAATCCTGAAATGTGTTGGTATCATCTGGTCAGCTCCAGGCAACTGTATATATTTCTTCATCTAGAAATGTGGATCACCATATCAAACACAATTACCTTCTGAGAAGTATGCTTGTTTAAAACCACCTGGTTTTCAAAAATTTACATTTGAAATGATCAACTAGTGGTGCCCTTCCGCCCCCCCCCCCCCCCCCCCCCCCGCTAATATGGAAATACAATTAAATATAGAAATACTTTTGATCAGGAAATTGCTTTGTGTCTCCCTATCTGTGTGTGTAAATAAAATGTTCTTTTACGCATTCTATGGTGTGATTTCTTGGTTACTACATAGAAAGATTAATTAAAATATTGGGAGCTTGTTTAATATATCTTTGTTTAATGAAACAAAATTCTCTTTTTTTTGCTTGAAAACTATTTTGTAGTTCTTATTATTCAAGTGCCCATGCGATGGCTCTTGCCTTAAAACTATTTTTTCCAAAGTTAGATTGAGTCAGTCTGGCTTGTGAAAAAATTTCAAGTATAAACCATAATTTATTTGCTATATTAAGCACCCTCAATTACTTTAGTCACTTTGTGATCATGTTAATATTACAGTCAATGCCAAAATACCAACTACTGAATAAAATTTGGGAAATACTGTACTTCTTTTAATTTTCCAGTTGTTTTCATTAGTTTTGGTTTACTGTTTTATTGAGCCAGCTTTGGGCGATTCCTGTGGAATCCTGTGAGCCTCCGCCTGGTCTAGGCGTGCTGGCTGTGTGCCCTGAGCACTCTGTAAGTGCGAGACCACCCTGAGGCCATCGCCTCCTACTGAATTAACCCATTCCTCTTTCATCTTAGCTTCTGGCAATTTCAGTCTTACTCTGTTGTTTTGTTTCAGGCATCTGTTTGGTTTCTCTATGTTCCACATAGGAGTGAAATTCTAAAGTGTCGTAATTTTGAATCACAAGCAATACAAGTATTTGTAGGGTGGTACTTAATATAAAATGCTCACCTTTTAATTGCCTTTTTCTCCCCAACAAGTGTTGACTTATTTTCATGTGAGAAATACACTAAATCAGTGCTTGGGCCGTGCCGAGAGGATCCATGTTTCTATACAGCGCCATTTCTCTTGCTGAGCTAGCGCAAGATAAGGCATCACACGCACTGTGGAAATGCTCTCCTCGAACTGGCTGTGTCTTTCCTCCCCTGTTTTTTCTTGAGTGTATGCTGATAGAAAATTTCCATTGTAAGTCACTAGTGTTTATATAAATTGGCTCTCTATGTCTTACTATTTATAAAGCAGTTTCTTGGGAGCCTCATAGCAGACCCTTTGACACGGCCATGGCTGCTGTTTCTGTTTCACAATTGAGGGATTCAGAGGGATGAAAATTGAATGAATTAAAATTTCAACCACCATGTGTACCATGTGCTGAACTCAGACCTGATTTCAAGCAGTGCTCTTCAGAAAGTGCTCTCCTCAGTTATTTAACCACAGGGAGCTTCAAAACATATCATTACTTCTAACTCATGGGATCATCACAACAGTTGCTTTGATAGTGAGTCTTTCTTACTTAAAAATAGAAGTGTAAAATAATGGGATTTTTATATCACACAACTGTGGTGATTCCTTTAATTAATAACTTGTGACCAAGAACTATTTTATCTAATTTAGCTTGTAAAAGGAATAACATTAATTTCTTTCACCTAGTTTTTTCCTTACTGGGGATAGAAACCAGCTGGCAATAGAATTTACCCTTGGCATTTTTCAGTATTTCTTGAACAACTTAAAATCTTGCTTACAATGTGGAACCCAGAATTAAACACAGTGCTCTGAGGAAGACTACAGAGGCAGCTCTCTGCTGAACTTAGCGCTTTTCTTTGCTTCTCTGATTATGCTGACTTTTGTATCTTTCTGCTTTGTTGATGGCTCTCTCCTAGCTGTTTACTTCGGTGGTGCTTGCTTTCTTTAACCCTAAGCTGTTAATCTCAAGGCTCAGCTTAGCCCTAACTCCTGTACCTACTACACTGCCCCTTTGCCTGGCTCTTTATGCCCCTACACTTTGACTTCTGTTTGTTTCCTGGAACCCCCGTAGCCAGGAGAGCCCATTTCCTCCTATGCCTCTGTCTCTACCGTAGGCAAGTCCTACGTCAGGCTTCAATTCATCTGTATTTCTCCTTAGTCAAAATTCATCTTTCCTTTTTTGTTCCCCCACTATATTTTATTTATTCCTCTGCTCTCATTCCTGTCACATTGTCTTGGAGTTCATTTTATTTGCCTGTCCTTCCTGTGGGCAGCGCTGTAAAAAGAGGGGCTCTAAGTAAAACAGGTGTACCCAGCTTGTTAGCTGCTTGTGTCACATAGTAGAGATAGACACCTTTACTTCACAGCTTGGTTATGATTCACTTCTCCATTAAGACATGTACTGGGGTTTTAGAGTTCACAGTATTGGGAAAGCCCGGTGCAGGAGCAAACCTGTGACCACTCCCAGGGCTCTGTGTTGATGCTCAGCGGCAGCGTCTTCGCCCAGCTATTGCCACTTGAAGGTTTGGCACCTTCCTGGGAGAGACTGGCCAGGGCATTCAGTAGCAAAGTGTGAGCGAGCGAGGTACCCGTGCATGAGGTGTCCAGATTGAGACACACACACACACACACACACACACACGTTTTATTTGTTCTTAATGGCTTGTTGCCTTCACTGCGTGTTTAAGATAGACCTTTGCCTGTGTTGCTTGATGGCTGATGTTTGTTAGTGGAACTCATGAGTCAAATCATCTTGATGTGTGAACTTGTTTTTCATTACTTAGACGCAGAATTTCTCACACATTTTGTTGAATCTGAATTGTCATCTTAGTGGCCTCAGTGGGGGATGAACTCTGTAGACATATTTCAAATATTTACTCTTCAAAAAAAATCTTTTTAATTATGAATGTTTCAATGTTAGTACCAGTTCTTTACCTCTTTTTATACTTCTTGTGATAAATATTCTTAGTTGAAGATAGAAATAATAAGATTAGTAAGAAAATAAGAAAGGTGATCATAGGAAAACTAAATGTCCACATCTCAACAGAATGATAACTGACATGGAGCCAGGAAGTCATGAAGGGAGAAACATTTATCCAGAGCCTGAAAGTTTTTATGTCACCCGATCAAGTCCGGTATCTTTTCCCCCCTTTTATTAGTAATATTAAGCTGTTATAAATTGATGTCTGACTTTCAGATCCTTAAAGAAGAGTAAACTCCTATCTTGTTTCTATTAAATCGGCTACACTTTGAGTGGCACATTCTTCTTAATAAGAAAGAATATTTTGCTCAGTGGAAATGCGTTTCTGTCCATCCTTGCTGCGGCTTACATAAGCATTTGTATTTCTTTTGTGTTGCAGAGAAGAAACAGTCAGCATCTAACCCCTGGCACTAAGCAGAGCGCATGTTAGTCTTTATCTGTTGTAGGCATCCTTACTCTGCATGTCTTTCCTGGGGAATGGAGCAGAGTAATGTTTGTTACTGAGCATTTCTTTTCTTACTTTGTGTAAGATTATATTACCCAACTAGCCCATTAGATTATTAAATCTGATAATCTACCATGTTGATGATCTACCTTGTAAATATAATTGGTTCAATTCTTGCATTTGTGTGTCTGAGTGAAAGTAGCTTTGGAAATGTGACACATTTTTATTCACTAGTGAAATTAAACTGATTAATTTTTAACACTAAGTCTGTTTTGTGTTTTCCTTTGGAGGACTGGATAGCTTTAGTCAAAGCAGCTGCCGCAGCTGCAGCCAAGACTAAAGCAGGGAACAAACCTCGGGCCAGCGCTAACAGCAATAAAGATAAGGAGAAAGATGAGAGAAAGTGGTTTAAAGTACCTTCAAAGAAGGAAGAGACTTCAACCTCTGTAGCCTCGTCAGAAACTGAGAAGAAGGAAGATCTCCCCACATCTAGTGAAACATTTGGTACAAAATATGTTCTTATGTTCATTCCTCCTGACATTGGTAATCTCACCTAGTTAAAAAGTCAGACCCCTTGGATACCTGTCAATTTGAAGATACATTATTCAGCTCTTTTTTCCTTAACATAAGATGTGTTCACTTTTTGTAGCGTCTTGTAGATAGCTTGAAGATTAATGTGGGTAACTGATACTGCACCCTCAGTACTCTTGGAGAGAGACCGCTGAGATTTTACTTGCAAAGTCTTGGTGGTGGGCTTTGTCTTGCGTGTTGTTTCCCTGTCCTCCACCCTCTTAAGTGCTTTTGCATGTACTTAATAGTATTTAATATGGAAAAGGGAGAAAGCCATTTCCTTCCTTCCTTAGCCATTTCCTAAGGAATTACTCTTAGTAGTCTTTTACCTGTAATATAGAACATCTGGACAGATTTGTGTTTTTTTTAAAGTTCTATGTCAAGTACTAGACTAAAATAAGTGCAAAACATTTTGACGACTTTAATAAAATTCATGTGTTTTAACTTTGGATTCTAGATAAACTCATATATGTATTCTATTAAAAGTAGGACTTCATGTAGAGAACGTTCCAAAGATGGTCTTTCCACAGCCAGAGAGCACATTATCAAACAAGAGGAAAAATAATCAAGGCAACTCATTTCAGGCAAAGAGAGCTCGACTTAACAAGATTACTGGTAAACTACAATGATTCTTTTTGGGGGGAATGGAGGGTTTACTTTTAGAGTAGTTTGTTTTTAATAAAGCAAAGTGTATCTTTTTGTTTAGTGTAACAGACTGGCTAATATGAAGGGTGCTTGCTGCTGTTAACCTTTTCTGTTGTGAAATGTGAACACTATCACTTAACTGCCTACCTCACAGGGATGTTGTGGGGATTGATAAGATCAGTTGTTACAAAATTCTATATTTAAACCACCAGGGTGGTAGGAGTAGTTTCTGTGAGAATTAATTTATTCATTTTTATCATCTTGTGATGAAATAATATCTGAGATACTAATTAGGATTTTCCAGATATTATTCTTGCCCATTTTCATTAAGGATGGTGCTATATATGGATGGAAAGATAAATACGGGATAAAAACCACTTCCTAAATCTGTTAATTCCTACTGTATAAGTATTTCCATACAGTTTTAAAATTTCCTTCAGGTTGGTCTCTAGAATCTAGGCTTGTTTTTCTGTGTGTTTTCTTGTTTTTAAATTTAGAAGTAGAATTTTAGGATGGAAGAACCACTGGGGGGAGGGGGAAAGGATTTATAGTGTGCTGCTTTGGCAGCACATATACTAAAAATAAAAGGATTTATGGAAATATATATATATTTTTTTAATAGAAAAAGGACTTAGGCATTTGGGACCAGTTCTAGCCCCTATTACTTCCAAAGTTCATTGAGCCTAATGAGTCTAGCCTTCAAAATGTGAATGGATTTATTTATTTATTTTTGCTTAGTAATGTGGTTCTTATTTCAAGGACAATGGTTTTTAATGCCTTTGGCCTAATAAAACAATATAAACATTTGTTGGCATTCTTTTAAATAATATGGAGAAGCTTTGTTTTGATGTTAGATTAAAAAATAAACATTTCCCCACTATAATATGACCCTACAAATGACGTTTCTTTAGAACCACTGTTTTGTTATTTCACTGATTATAATGGGTTTCTACAGGTGAAACATTTACTCTCTCCACTTGTTAATATTATTTTTGTTGGTTTTCTGGGATACAGGATATATTTCCCCTAAGGATAGGAAATAATTTCAAATAAATTCAGTCACTCCATCTTTTTCTCAGAAAATGTTAGCTTTGGAGAAAGCCAAAATCTTATTCACGGGTTGGTTATGATGGCAACTTGAGACTTCAGTTTTGCCTTAGAATAATGGAACCCGGGCCCCAGATGGTGGCAGAGGTGAAATAGTGCTCTGACTTCTGTGAGATCAAGATTGAAGCGGTGTTGGAGGAGCCAGGATAGAGGAAGACAGAAGTGACACTGATGCAGTCGACTCAGCTGCCAGCTTGCCAGCATCACGCTTCTTCCCGACGATGCGGATAACCTGATTTAGTTTGAGTCACTATACTCTTAGATATGCCTGACTGAGAAGTTGGAGCTCAACATTTAAAGAAGTTAAAAAAGAAAACAACTCAGGCCACAATGAGGCATCACCACACACCTTGCAGAGACAGTAGGGGTGGGGGAAGAACCACTTTACCACATGCCTCAAGGAAGTTCTAACGTTGTTTGCTTAGTAACACACCATGTTTTCCATGTTATACATCCCTTTGGGAATCTCAAATGAGCAAGTGAAATTTGGCAGCAATAGAAAAGCGTAAGATTTATGAATGATAACCATTACGATCTTTACGTTTTAAGTTCTTAGAAGGTTTAACTATCTGCTAATCCTTTTAATAGTTTATCTTTCCGCGTCTTATTATAGAACTGCACGATGCCACTCTGTCATGCGGAAAGACCCTAGTTAAGACATTGTCATCAAAGGTTGGAATGCAGACTTGCCTCTGTACAGTAAATTCCATTTGCAGTTCATAAAAAGATGAAGACTAATATAAAGTAGCAGTTTGTTGTGAAATGTGGTATATTTTAAGCCTGTCACACATACATGCCTTTTTGTCCTTTATTCCTACTGAGAGGAGTAGGGCTTGACCATGGTACAGCTCAGTCTGCTGGATAGCTCCTCTCTTCATTTACTGACTTTTAGAATGATTCTAGTTGGAAATATATTGGGAAGCCCGTGGGGGAACTTAGTTCATGCATTTAGTCGCTTAGGTTTTTTCCCCCATATGCACACCCTACAGTGATTCTAAGCCCAGTTTCTACATAGAGACTGTCATGTGGTTCTGTTGAAGTTTTCAGACAAATAGGCATTGAAATTATAATTGCACATAAATATAGGTGTCGAAATATGATCTTAGAGATTTTTAATTATATAGTACACCTTATTGGCAATCATATTTATGTGTACTGACTTCAAATTGCAAGACTTAAGATTCTATACTTTGGGACAAGCCTATGAGCAGCTTTTAAAATAGTTTCTTTAGGGACTAAGTGACCAGACACAAGCCATTGGCATCTGGCCTACTTCTAATAGTTGTAGGAGTTTCTAGAGGTTTAGGTATTTTAGATGTATTTGTGAAAGTAAGGAGTTTTGAAAAAAAGTTTAAAGGGATTTGAATTGGTTAGTAATGTGTTAATTGATTCTAAGCATCAAGAATATTTGATTCTTAATCCCAGCAAGAATGTTATGGTTTGGAATCACTGGATGAAAATTAGACCTCTCCTTTGTCATTCCAGGTGCTCTGTCCTCTATTCTATTTATTCCTGCTGGCAGTAAGAGACCAATTGTATATATTTATAGCTGAAGCAGCATATTGAGAAATTACAGCTTTGTGGGTGGTGCTCATGAATATTTGATATTCCTCTATCTACCACTTAAATAATTTCTTGAATCTGCATAATGCATTCCATTAAGATAATTACTCTGTAGATATATTTTTCTGAAGGAGGGCTTAGTAGTAGTATGCTGATAGGTGGATTTGAAAATAACTGAAATTGTTTTCATTTGCATTAATTTCCTTTCAGTTCTCATTCTCTGGGGATATTGCTTTTCTCCCCAGAATGTTAGCTGGTCAAGGTGACAGCAGTGGTCAGAACTCTTTCTTAAGGACATGTTTTGTTTTTTATCCCCCTTTTCTTGTTCATATTTGTTAACATTTGTAACTTATGTATATATAAAGTATGAAACTTTGTATTGATCTTATTTGAGGCATTTGAATTGACTTTGAACAAAGTATTGTTTCTGAATCTAACTTTAAGTAGCTTTTACTAAATGCCCCATTATTTTTTATAAGAACATTACAAAGCTTCCCCCCCCAAAACCATTTAATGGGAATTGCTTTTAATTAATTGAGTCTGTAATATCCTTTAAATTCAGAGTATGGCAAAATTATTTTGTTTCTTTTAAAACTCATAGCACCTTATATTTAATTTTATAGTTTGTGATCTATTCCATCTGTTAATGAGATTTTGAAAGTATTTCCATCACCTAAATGAGAATGAGCAAAATGTAGGATATATTTAATAGACTGATTAGCACATATTTGTCCTCTTTGACTTGTCCTTAGAAATAGAACTGCTAATTAGTTCTCTGTGAAATAATTTGATTCTCATTTGGTTCTCAAAGCATTTTCTTCTTTTTCAGTAGATTCCTTAAAAATATTACCTAGAGAAGAAAAATCTAGTGACAACCTAGGCTTTAAATGTTTAAAAAAAACAGTCCAAGCTACATCATTTTCAGTCATCTAAAAATAAGTCACAAACTATTTAAAGTCATGTTAATAGAATTGAATTTATAGCTTACAGGTAAATTTTTATCAAATGGCCTATGTATTTTTTTTTCCCCACCTAAACCCATATTTGACATGAAACTTGAACAAGCCATATAAATTTTTATTTCAAAATAGGCCAGATCCTATCAGTTTTTCTTTCTTTTTTTTTTTTTTTTACTTACCGTTTTGAACACAAATCATATATCAGAATCATTGTTTAAAACTTGCCTTTTCTATTTTAAATTACATTTCCAAGGGCTAGATAATCATCCTCCCTATAAAAGGAAGATGATTTTTTGACTCCTTTAACAGGTAGCTGTAGTACTACTTCAAGAATACAATTCAGGGAGCTGTAGTACTGCTTTTACGAACACAATTTTAATCTTTGAATTCCTACCTCCATTACTTACCATCTTTGGGGTATTTACCTAAAATGAGTTGTTGACAGGAAAACCTCAGAATGATGTTGCATTTGGGGCACCTTTTTTCTACTGTTCCTTATGCTTTCGACAGCATCAGTAATGTAGGGAGTAAAATAGTTGCAGAGTTTACTCCAGTGTTGCTGATTGTTAAACATGTTCTTTGAAACAAAGGGTTGTGTGACCAACTTTGAAATGACACAAATGATTCTTGGTGGCCTTTTATGTGCCCTGTTACTGCATAAGGGTTAAAAAACTGATTTCGTAAAAGCTGCTTAGCAAAGAATGTTGATTAAACAGATGTTTTAATTATAAATTAAAGCATAGATTTAATGTCTTGTAAGGTTATACTGTATACTCCAGATAAAATGTTCTGTCTTCCGAAACAGAGTTAATGGTGTACATTGGAGAAAACTAGAACACCAAATTATTTCCTAATTTGTGCAATGATAACATAATATTTAAGCAAGTTCGAATGTTTTCGGAAGAACCTATACTAACATAGTATGAATACATAAGTGTTTTTGGAACTTTTGTTAAGATGAACAGCTACAACTGGGTAGCAAGAAATCTGTAAGGCTTAGGTTACAGGACACTACTGAAATTAGAAAATGAGTAGCATTTTAAAAAATTTAATACAACAGATTTATGTTCTATGCGTAGCATTTTTAAAAAAGTTAATACAATGAAGATTTTATATTCTAAATGTTCAGAGGATTTTTCACATATTAATATTAAATCTGTATTTTATTTCAGTTCTATAGACAAAGTCCATATTATGAATTTAAATATAGGCAGTTTTAGGTTTTCATAGTAAGCCGTGGAATTTGAAATGTTTACAGAATAAATGTGTACATACTGTGGTTTTTCAGGGTATTGTTGTTGTTATTGTTGTTTTTAAATGAGATCAGCAACTCTCAAGTTGTAATTCTAGAAAGTATGAGGAATATCAACTGCTAAATTTTTTGAGAGTTAATTAGGGTGAAAGTTAATATTTTTTCTAATAAGCAATTTCTGTACAATTTTTCTCAAGGTTTGTTGGCATCCAAAGCTGTTGGGGTGGATGGTGCTGAAAAAAAGGAAGACTACAGTGAAACGGCTCCAATGCTGGAGCAGGTATGAAATGGTAGCATTTGATTTTTTTCAAGGTCCCCAACTGGAATGATCGCGGAGCTATAATATCCACATAATTGAAATTACCGTTTTGGTCAGATAAGGGAATAGGAAACTGGTGATATATTTTTAACTCTGCCTTCTCCAAGGTATACAGATAAACTGCAAACTCCATTAGCGTGTGTTTGTTTCTAATAGACTGGCATTCAAGCCTTTGTCTCCCAAATTTGCAGGCCTGGAGACTGGCACCCCAGGTATAAGCTGGATTACCTTTAACTAGCTTACACGAAGACCCTTACACAAATACTTTTCATTTGTGAGTTAAAACAGGGTTTTTTGGCATCTAATAAAGCTTCTTTTGTAAGAAGTTTCTTTTATATTGTAACAATTGGTGTTGGTAGACTGTGTTTTATGAATTGATCAATGAGCCATACATTTTTGCTAGGATGTATATTTTAATAACTACAAAAAAATGAATTTAAAAAATCTATTAAGGGTCTGTCTTTGAACCACCTAATAGAGGAATTTAAAAGTGAAGGTCACAGTCGCTTGGTTTTGCCTTGGCTTCCTTCAGATTCCCACAACACTGTACATAGCGAGCTGTGCATGCGTTCACATTCTCAAGGGCTTACCTTCCTGGGCGCGGTGAGACTGTAAGAACACAGTAATAGCCATACGTGGGTTTCCTTGGTTCTCCTGTTTTAAAATCTGAGCCTTAATGTAGTTTTAATATATCCTTTTTGTATTATTTAATTTTCTTTATTAGTAGCCTAATAAAGAAGACTTTACATGAGTATCTTTTGCTCTTCTCTGTGTTTTAAAAAGTAGTCCAAATTTAATTGATATTGTATTGAGTTTTTCAGGGTTATTTTTAGGCCTGATTTGATAACAGTGCGTTGTTTTGGTGCCTCCATTAATGTTGTATTAATCAATGGTCTTTGAAATTAGTATGTCAGCAAATCATTACCTTCTGATTTTCTGTGATCATCAAACGGTTAAGTCTTTGCCGTTATTGTCAGGATATCAACCAAATTTTAAATGACTTTTTTACTGTGTGTTCCTTTTTTTAACGTCCCAGATCTAATATTTTGTATTTTCACCACTGTTTATGGTATTCTCAAAAATGCAATAAATCAGGGACTTGGGTAATAAAAATGTTTCTGGAAAATTCATTACAATGTCAATCTTTCATTATGCACAATCCTACTGAGGTAAATGTGATTGTGAAAGTACTTACTATATGTGGAAGTTAGAATAGAGGGCAGTGCCCAGCTCAGAAGTAGAGAGAGCAACATTTTAAAATTGAGTTAAAAAAGAAAAATAAACTGAGTAACTCGGTGGTTTATATTTGCATAATTAAAAGAATTTTTTCAGAGTCCTTGCCAGTTTTGTAACAGAGACCAATAATCACTAATAAGAACTTTGTGAATTATTTTAGATTTTTAAGGAACGTCATGTTGTTCCTTTATTTTTTTATGTCATTCAAGTTGATTTCAGTGTGCAAATGTTTTGTAACCAAACTTAATTTTTGTGCTGTTTGCCCTGCTTCAAGTTTAAATGCCGAGTGATAAACTTACATCTCAGTTGTTATCAACATTAGACTTAAGTGAGAGGTATTGATTTTCCCTAACCTCTGTTGTCTTAATGAATAAAATTATGTCACTTATGACATAGATTAATATCAGGCCTATAACTAAAACCTACTGTGCTAATGGGTTTATTTACATTTTTAAAATTTCTATCTCTGTAGTCTTGAACCCTAATCCTCCAATTATTAATTATAGATTATTTATGTATTAGGGAATTGTTATGTTATATTTACTTTTGGATAAAATCTGCATTAGATGCATAATTCAGTAAGTTTTTTAAAATGTTAACTTGTCCTTGTTTAGAAGTTAAGCACCTTATCAAGATATTTAAGTTTTAAAATCTTGTTTCATAACTTTGTAACTCGAGAGTAATGGATGCTGTAGTGATGTCTCTCACATATGTGAAGATGAACAATAAAATCGTTTATTTACAAGTAATGGCTCTAATTACTTTTCTGGCAACACCTTTTATGATAAGTTTAGGAACCCTCCCCTCTATGGAGTGCTTTTCCAAATGATTAACCTGCACGTACACACATGTAATTGAGTAAATTCAAGAATAGAAATGATGACAACTGAATGAATGGGACACATGACACCAGGCACTGTGTGTGGCATGTCCAACATGCCCGCGTAGAAGCAGCCAGAGGTGCCCTACTTAACGCCGAATGTACACTTTTTCCCACTAAAATCTGAGTGCCTGTATTTTACTGCGAACAGACAATTGGTCCCCAGAGAGTACTCTTTCATATTCCAGAGAACTGCAGGCTGCAGGCATCATTGTCATCCCTCGCAAAGGACAGGGAAAGAAAAAGGCTTCTTGGGGTGAAACATGTTCAGAGTGCTACCAGTTCACTTCTCTCTATATACCTGCCTATGCATTTTTAAAATTTTGTATCTCACACTTTGCGCTTAAATACATGTGTGAGAGAGCGGACAGGCATACCCACACCTTAGATCACAGACTCATCCAGTGTGGCTCCTCTCTGTTGTCCTTGGACACTCTCACATTTCATTTTGCATATGTAGGAAATTTTACTGCCAAGTGATTAAAGATACCTTTTACGAAAGAACTGACAAAGTTCTAATTTTTTTTTAAAAGTGTCAGTTGGCAGGAAGAAGGTAAAACTTTCATCTAAGAATGCGACGTATTTTGTTTTTAAATCCAATGTTTTAAACTTACACTTTATCTCCTTGGTTTTTTTTTTGTTGTTGTTGTTGCTTGTTTTGTATTGTTTTTTAGTCTTTTAACTCTGTATTGCTGGTAGCTTTGATTTCATGATGCACTATGCTTATGAAACTCTAGCTTTCAGCACTAAAATGAGTTAAAGATAATGTTTCGTTAATTTGGTCATTGTTTTCCTGTTGAGATCTTTCTTTAAAGGGAAGCTGTCTACTTACACCTCCACATTTAATTTGATGAAGTTATTTTACAAAAAAATCTGAAAGTTAAATGTTTAAATAGATTCTTCTAATGCTCTAAAACATTAAAATGCATCTTATTTACCTAATTATTACTGATGTTATTAGTAATTATGTATTCAAAGAGATATATTTTAGTTTAAATTGAAAATAGTTGTTCCAGAAGATATTTTATATTCTGAGAATAACGGGAATAAAATAGTATTTTTAAAAAGCCAAATTTGGACTAAAAGTCGACAGCATCCCTTTAAAGACGGCCTATTCAACTTTTAGTTAATAATTTGTGGGGTTCTTTTTGGTTTTTCATTTGTAATAGAAATGTTATATGTTGCTTAACAATGTTTTTGGATACTAAAGTTGCTTAACAATCAAAATAGAATACAAGAACAAAAATGAAGAAACCAAAATAAAAATATCAATTTTTTATTATTTATTCAGGCGATTTCACCTAAACCTCAAAGTCAGAAAAAAAATGAAGCTGACATTAGCAGTTCTGCCAACACTCAGAAACCTGCACTGTTATCCTCAACTTTGTCTTCAGGGAAGGCTCGCAGCAAGAAATGCAAACATGAATCTGGAGATTCTTCTGGGTGTATTAAACCCCCTAAATCACCACTTTCCCCAGAATTAATACAAGTCGAGGATTTGACGCTTGTATCTCAGCTTTCTTCTTCAGTGATAAATAAAACTAGTGAGCACAGATTTTTAAAAAATAGTTATTTATCCTATAAGATACATTAAAAAGTTTGATTGTAGTTATATTGTATTTTTATGAAATTGCTTTTAAAAATTCAGAATTAAGTGGATATGATAGGGAAGGCTTGAAACTTTCAGGGGCAAAACCATAAACATTTCTGGCTGATTTATTGTGCAGACTGTACTGCTGGTTGAGAAACCTTACCATTTAGTAGTGCAAATTCCACTGTAGTTTGATGCTCCTCAACTAATAATCTAAGCACTGTCAGAGGCCTGATTCATTACAAAAAAAAAAAAAAAAAAGGAACAAAAAAACAAAAAAATCTTAGAATCATAAAAAGACGCACAGTGACTTTTTTCCCTTACCTCTGAGAATAACTGATGGCTTGATGGATTAGTGATCACCACTTGTCTGTATCCTACCCCTCATGTTTTTTTTTTTTTTTTTTTTCTCTCGGAGTTTGAGTGTAAACTTCAGTTTAATATTGTTGATAAAAGAAAAATGCTTCCTTGGTCTTATTTTTAAATATCTTATGTTTAAATACCACTTATCTTTCAAGAGTTAATTTTTATTAAAATAGTCTTTCAACCTTGGTTTGGAGATATCTACATAGATATAACACACACACAGAATGAATATATGTTTATATATATACATGTATCTATATATGTGTATATATATATATGCGCATAGATACAGGTATATACATATACAGGAAGATTTGTGTTGGCCCTGTGTTTTTCATACTAGTTTATTCTGAGAGGCATGAAAAACAATTACCAGGAAAGTCATTTGTTAAAAATACTTTTGTTATTTACACAGCAATTGAATTAAAACCTGATTCATAGTAAGGGAGTAGGAAACATTCCTTGTGAACTGTTTCAGGTGTTGACATTGAGAAGACTTACTAATCAAGCATTTAGTTCTATTATTTTCTACCAAACCATGTTTTTTAATTTTTTAACAGATTTTGGCCTTTTTTGGTTATGGTTTTGTTCTTTTTATCAAATATGTAGAAAAGATGAGAATAGGAGAACTCATTTGTTTCCTTATAAACTTCATTTCATTATGGAATTTACCATGTAATAATAATAGTAGTCACTGCGGTGTTCCATATTGATAGGTATTTTATGTTGAAATTATTTTGATTCTGGTGTGACCACAATGTAACAGCAACTGGATTTAATTTCTTAACTTTTTTCAGTTGTCACCGTGTGTTTTTCATTTGATTTTTTTTAATTAAATATCCAGACTGTCAGCCTCTCTAGATCACATATATTTCCTCTTAAATTAATATGATCATATTAACTTGTGGAATCCCACTTATTCAGAATGATTATACACACGTTTACATGACTTATAGAAAAAAAGAAAACAAAGTCGAAAATAACGACGCGTCTGCTTTTGTGTTACATAGTTAGACGATGCTGAAATGACTCACACCACGTTATTTTAAAAAGAAAATATGAGGGCAAGAATCATATATTCTTCTAGTCCTCCTTGATTGCCCATAATAAACATTTAAAGTTGTTTATATTCTTTTTTTTTTAATGAATCAGGCCCAAACATAAGTTTAGAAGACTCAACTTGGGAGGATGGGGGTGGGATAAAATTATTTCATGTTATTTTGGCAAGTGAAGTAAAGCACTAACTACAATGCATGTTAAATTTTGGTCATCTATGCTCCCTGCTTTTTACTTTCCCTTAGCGTTTCTGGATTTGTAATTCAGCAAAAGGGAGTTAAAGAAAGAAAACCCTTGGCTAATAGACTATTTTCCCAAAGGAAAAATGGCAACTAACACAACGATCTGCAGTTAAAAGAAATCTGATCTGTCACTTGGGAAACTATCTGAAATTAGTGTTCCTTGTTATTTGCTTTTGGTTCTGTTAGGCTTTAGATTTTAGAAGTTTTGATTAACTTTTTTTTTTCTGTGAATGAGGGCACAGTTTTTGCCTTTGATTACCTTTGGAACAACATCAGAGGGCAGAATTTAAATCCTTTCCCCCATTTATCTCCTTAACTATTATAAGATGATCCCAGCATGTGTCTGCTCCGTGAACATTGAGGATCTTTTTCTAGGTCCTTCACAGCCTGTGAACCCCCCTAGACCTTTCAAGCATAGTGAGCGGAGAAGAAGATCTCAGCGTTTAGCCACCTTGCCCATGCCTGATGATTCTGTAGAAAAGGTTTCTCCTCTCTCTCCAGCCACTGATGGGAAAGCTTTCTCCATCAGTTCTCAAAATCAGCAAGAGTCTTCAGTACCAGAGGGTAATGTATATTGATTTCCTATAGAACCAAACATAAAAGAAAATAAAGAAAACACTAAGAGTTTAAGAACATTAGAACATTAAGAAAGTTTTTTTTTCCTTTCTTATATCTTGTGGATTTATAAACACTTCATTTGTTCTGCAAGTATTTGAGTGCGTTCTTTGTGCCAGGCACTGCTCAATTTATATAGCATTTTAATCCAATTTGATATTAACTGGGCCACTTTATCTATGTTAATATTATATTACATTCTTTATTTTGTGTAGTTCCTGGTGTTGTACATTTGTCATTTGAGAAGCTGGGGGCCTGTCTCCCTCTTGACTTAAGTCGTGGTTCAGAAGTTACAGCGCCTCTAGTCCCAGATCCCTCTTACCATAATGAATGTCCCAGGACAGAAAAGGAAGATTCGCAGATGCTTACAAACCCTTCTTCCAAAGCAGTAACTGATGTAAGAGGAACGCCAGCAGCATCAGGTAAAAAAATAAATAAACACAACAACAGTGTTTTACAAGTAGCTCGGTATTTATAAGTATAAACGTTTTATATGATTATATTAACGTAATGGATAATTCCTCTTCATAAATGTCTTTATGTAATTTCTATGGGAGGCAGGGCTTTTGTGTCTGTTTAAAGTTCTCAGTGCAGCCATTTTGCTGTTGTATTCCATGCTTCTTTGTCACTTTACCTCCTCCCTGCTGCTTTCTTATATCCTGCCTCTGCTAACTAGCAATCATTAGAGCTAAATATAATGATGAAACACCTTGATTTTTCAAGCCAGATAATATTTAATGTGTACAACAGTGAGGCTTAAGTAATTTTAATAGCTGTTAGTATTTAAGAAAAACTTAGCTTAAAGTATTTTATATATACTTTTATCTATAACCCTATAATTTGGGGCACAGTCTTACAAGTTCAAATGTAATTTGTTATAATGTTATTTTGGTAGCCTGTCATGTAAAATCAGCCCTGTTCAGTAGCACATCTGTGGGATGATTTTTTTTTTTTTTTGACCATCTGAAAGGATTCAGGGGTATTTTACTAAGTTGATACTTTAATCCAAAGAATCACTAATTGTATTTCCTCATACAGTTACACTGTTTTATTTATAATAGTTTATAGAGTTTTAACCTCAACTAAATAGTACATGTGAGGAAATAGGGCAAATACTAATTTGAAGTGCTTTTCCAGTAAGTTACTAACTTGGAGTTATGTGGATGGAGGAGATCTGAATTGAGTTAATTTTAAAATGGAGAAAGACAAAACTTGATTAGTTTACAGCCAGCAGTGTGGGGTTAATAATAGTATTTTTCCTGAAATAACTATTCAGCTTTTTGGGTGAAGCGTAAAATAGAGCTTGCTCTTCTCCGGTGGTGGTTACATTTAAAACAAAATGATTGATGTAACTGAAGAAGCAATTTCGGTTTAGCTTACTGTGTTTTCTTGTTAGTTTACTACTTTTATTGTCTTACTCCTTCCTTCATAGTAAAAATGCAGCCGGTATTAAACACACACTTTCTACAGCTCTGTCTTATTAGTAGCATTAGCCCAATCACTCCCCCTCCCCCAGAATTTCTAGCTTATGTTTAGTTTGTATGGTGAGTTACCATACAGGCATGTTTCATACTGTGCTTCATGTTGGGCAGAACGTAGTGGATTAGTGGGAGGACATAAAATTTTCTTTTTGAAGTATTTGAATTCAAGAAAGTCAAAACAGTTTTCTGGAAGTGTGAAAGGTGGAGAGGAGTTTCAACTTATAGTTTGTGTTTGTGGATTTGTGGAGAGATTGGTAGGTTTGTTGAAGATTGTATGTAGGTATGGTCATTACGGGCAGCTTTAACTCAAATTGCATGTTTTTAAATGTTAATCACTGAAGTTCTGTTTCTTAGAGTGTTGATCTTCTATTATTGAATGAAAGGAGTGGTAGGAGGTCTAACTTACTTCTACTAGCTACTTTAATTTTTTATTTGAGAGAAGCAATGGAACTAAAGCCAGGCTCTAATTGGGCATGTTTGTACTGAACCCGGAGCCTGGGTGGCTGCCTTGAGAAGCCTCGGTGTCTGCAAACTCTGCTCCCTGTGCACTGTGTCACCCACCATCTCTGAACTGTTTGCAGTATTTATTGAACTGCTTGCTCTCTGCTCCCCAAGATGTCTTTTATCATTTTTAAAGCCAAACTACCATAAGTTTGTTGTTACTGTTTGTTTATTTTTTAATGTGTGCATTTGCTTGGTTGGTTGATTTCCATCATAGCCTTGAAAGTAGATTTTGTTGAATTTTAAAAATTTCTGTAGAAAGCATTATTTACCAGACCTGTATCAGACACATTATTTGGGTTCTTTATGTTACTCTTCATATGTTTAAAGTGATGTGGATATTTGTGACTGTGAAATAGCTTAACAGACTTCGATTTTTACTTTTTGCATGAGAGATTTGTATGCTAGTGATTGTATTAGTTATGCAATAGGATTGATGAGATTATGCAAGTCCAGTTATTATATGCACCTGCTCTTGGAAGGTTAACATTTGGTTTTAATTTTTTTAATCCAGTAGAGATAATGATATTGCACTAAACTGTCTGCATTCTTCCAGGGGTTGTATCCTGACAGGGTGATTAGCCAAGGTTACAAATATGTCACTGCTCAGATTACCAAAGAAGGCATCCATACCTTTAAAAATGGAGGGCTTTCTGGTCATTGTGTTAGCAGAATGCTTTAGCTAGCAGGCAGCTGATTTTTGGGTGAGGATAGAGCATCAGAAAGACTCTTAGTTCTGTTACAATCTGGAAATGTGAACTAGTTTTCTTTTTTTTTTTACCTACTGAGGATATATATACATGTAAGTATATATACCTGAATTACCTCTAACTTGTTTTTGTAGGAGTTAATAGATATGGAATACACATGTAGTTTTTAGCTGTTAAATCTTTTAAATTCTAAATAGTATTGGCTCTACTTTTTAAAAATTTTTTTAATAGCCTTTTGAAAAAGAAACTTTTAGTATACATCCAAGGCCAACATAGAACTATCACTCCCTGTCAGAGTGTTCCCTTAGAGTTAGTAAGTAAGGAGTTCAAAAATATAAAAGATTGCTCTCAGGGAGGCCTCAGGTAGGGAAAGAAATTGCATTTAAATTAACCAATCTCCTTGAAACTCATTTGGATGTTTCTATGAAGGGGAGATTGTAGCAGATGATTTCTGTGGTGCTGTTGGCTCTGAATTTTGATTTTTAGTTTAGTATATCGTTGACAATGTATGTGATGGAGTTTAAGTTTATTCCAAGGAAAAGTTCATGTTGCGATATTGTTTCCACTTTTCATCTTACAATTTTTTTTAAGATTTATTTATTTGTGCATACAGAACTGCGGTACAGGCCAGAGGTACAGGGGCATTGAGAGGATTCACCAGAGACAGAGCGGGGAGCAGAACAGGCAGACTGATGAAGTACACTGCTGAGGGGAGCAGCGGACAGGCCAGGAGAGGTCTGCCTTGCCCTGTGGGTCACCTCCGGGGCGGGCAGGGCTCAAACTCATGCTAAAGTGGCTTTAGCCTCTTAGTGCTGTGCTTTAGCCCTCCATGCTCCCAGGGAGGGCCTCATCTTACAATTTTTAAATATTCTTAGAAATGACAGTTTCTGTTCTTTGGAACTCCTGTGAAGATGCAATTGGGATTAAAAGATCATATAAATATAATTTTAAGTTTTCTCAGTCCTGTGTTGAAAGATACTTAAGACATCCTTCATTGTTTCCTGTTTTGAACCAAGCAATACATAAATAACAAAGAATATGGACTTAATGAACATATATATATATATAGGTATTTAAATATTTAGAAATCTGAAATATTTCTAAAACTTTTTATTTTTAAGTTATATGGGTATGAATACTGGATTGACCTAGGTATGAAGACTGTACATTCTTGATACCAGTGTATGCACTAGCAGACATTTTAGGGGGTGTTGTTTGGAAATCACTAGGCTTCTTTTCATTGTTCTTCAAAGTCAAATCTGAAATTGGTATCTGAATGAAATGTTCATAGAGGTCAATGAATGAATGAAAGTTGTATAGTTTTATCATGGTAGTTAAGACGGTGATTTCTCTGTTGGGAGTCCATGAAGCTATTACTGATGTGTTAACATAGTACTTTTTTTTTATCAGTGGTAGTCTCGACTTAGGGTGGCAGAAAGCATGTCATGCACTCTGCTGCTGCTTCCTGTGGTTTCTAAATGCCCTTCGTTTTTGGTCCAACATCTTATATCACTTGTATATTTGCTTTTTGAAAGTGTTTTTTTTTTAAAGCGTTTTGCCATTTTTTTCCAGAATTGTACCAAACAGAACAAAACTACAGCCACAGATACTCATCTACTGCCACCCCCACACCAAATGTCCATGGCTCGTACAGACGGGGGTTTCCATGGAGAGTCTCGGGGATAGCCTCTTTTTTAGCTTGTAGAATCTGAGATGTTAAGCATATGGAAGGGGCTTGAGAAACCACTCTCTATTATTGACTTTAAATTGTCTGCAAGTAGGCAAAGTCCAGAGAGCTACCTCTTTTATTGAAATAGCGCTATTTGGTTGGTTGTTTTTTATATCATAAATTGGACTATCACATAATATTTTGTTTGAAGAAAACATGTTAATGTAATGTAAATATTGCTATTTGTTGAACAAATATTCTAGTATTTTAGTTCCCAAGTTCTACTAAAATAAGGACAATATAATGAACTTCTCATAAAACAATTTTTTTTCTTTTGTTGAATTCTAGAATGGTTGTGTTTTCCTCTTTATGCATGACTGTACCCATGTTCCATCATTGCATATATGAATATTTAATATCTTGTGTGTAAGATGTTGACAACTCTATGTCAGCGCCCGCTCCCCTGCCAGTTTTACTTCAGGAATCTTAGCACTTCAGAATCTAAAGGTCTGGGAGCCAGTAGAACACGTGGAAGTGGAATCTGGAGCTGATCTCCTGGAAGCACCAGGGGTGATGACTACTACTTTTTGTTGTAGCACCTGGCTGCTGTTTGTCTTCCAAGCACCTGAGCGGCCCCGCCATTCTAGTCAGCACAGGCAGCCCACTAAAGCAGTTCTTTTGCTTTTACTCAACCCAGGGGTCTTGTTTCACCTTTCAACCTGGAAAGTCTGTGCTTCAGAGACTCGAGGACCTTGGAAGCAGTGGTCATCATTAGTGCTGCTGCTATGTATATCTGTACTGTCTTTGAGCACTGGAAAGCAACGTTCTTATCGTTTGCTCTTCAAGTGCTTTATCATTGTCAAGAAATAGTATCAGATTTGTAGGATTTGCATGCTGCATTAATAAATAGTGATTAGTAAAATGGAAGTGATGCATTTGTTCAGTAGTCATGATGATAAGGAAATTTAAATGCATTTCTTTTTGTGCTGATGCCCCTCCCAGTTTTGGTCATAAAAAATGGAGATTACCAATATTTTTAAATAATTTGAAACTTCCTTACTAAAACCTTATTAGCATTTAATTCAAGTTAAGTGGTATTTTAGTTTTTTAAAGGGGCTAAATCGGTTACTACTCTTTTTAAAACTTTTTTGATACTTAAAATTTTATTAAAATAACAGCTTATAAAATTGCATAGATTACTATTTTTAAATTTACATTTATTCTTACTGTTGAGGAAATTTAATAAAATAACAGTATGTAGGTTTCAGGTGTACATCATTATAAATCAATACCAGTTATATACTAGGTTGTTTGCCTTAGTGGTATTTTATATTACTATTATATTTGACTGAAATCATATCAGATATATGAAGTTTAAGAAAGTGTTGGTCTTTTATAATACTGTATTGAGTGATAAAAGAACTTGTAAGTGATGATGTTAAAGCAGAAATTAGTAGATTGATTGAAATTGCATTTTTTTTTTTTTAAAGATTTATTTATTCATACAGAACTGGGGTACAGGCCAGAGACTCAGGGGCGGTGAGAGGCTTCACCAGAGACAGAGTGGGGAGCAGAACAGGCAGATCGACGAAGTACACTGCTGAGGGAAGCAGTGGGCGGGTCAGGAGAGGTCTGGCTCGCCATGTGGTCTCCTCCGGGGCAGGCGGCAGGCGGGAATCGAACTCATGCGGAAGTGGCTTCAGATTCTCAGTGCTGTGCTTTAACCCGCTGTGCCACCAGGGAGGGCCCTGAAATTGCATTTTAAATATATTGTACTATTTCTCTTAGATTAACTCTAGACACAAATAAGATGGCATCAAAAATAGTGAAGTGAATTAAGAACTTCATTAAATGTACTTGCTTCAGTTCTTGGTTTAAAAATGTGTTTGGAGCTATTAGATAATATCTAAATGTCTTTAGGGTGGATATTTTGATGTGTAAGTAAGTCGTTGTATTTTACATTTATTGATAAATATACACCAAAAAAGATTTTAAAATCTACTTTGATCTTTATTGTTACTTAACATATTTATGATAAAGGTTGTTATAAGCCAACAAAGATTAAATATTATTTTTTAAAAAAATATACAGATTGTTGAAAACCATTGTACTTTAATATGAGGTGTAATGTTTAGTTGAGTTGGTCTAAATAGCATTCAGATCTTAACTGTCACAGAAGCCAGAAGTATTGCATGGGCCAGCTGCTCCAGTGGCTTCCGCATCCTCTGGACCAGCAAGGCTGTGCTGCCAGAGTAGATCCTTACCTACTGCCTAGTATGTTTGCCTTCAGATATTTTACATTGAGACCCAAATTTATGATATTTCTAGAAAAAAAAATGATAGTCTCAAATTAATACCCCACCACAGAGGAGAAGTATAAGAACTCACTGTCTCAGACACTGTGCTAACCAGTGTATCTATGTTGACTCATGTAATCCTTATAACAATGCAGATACTCTTAATTCTGTTCGGCAGATGAGGAAAACTGAATCACAGATAGATATTAAGTGATTTCCTCAAGGACACACAGCTAGTAAGTGGTGACACCAGGATGGAATCTGGGTAATTTGACGGAGCTGAAGTCATGCTTACCTCAGTTTAAACAGTTTTTTTCAATTAAGAAATCTCATTTGTTTATAGTACTTCAAACAGTAAAACAATGTAAACCTTTAATTTTACGTAGTTTTCTGAGCAGTTGTAATATAAAATGTTATCCTATACTTTTAACCCTTTCTGACTTAATTTCCATATTTTCCTCCTTAACCTACAGGAATATTGAAAACGGAAAAAAAAGTGAAATTAGAAGAAAAAAGCTCAGCAGCATTTGGTATGAACAGAAAGTAATCTTTAAGCAAAAGACTGTACTGCTTGAGAGTGAGCGGACATAGTCTGTCCTTTTTATTGTTACCGTATTAGTGTTGCTCAGTTCCCTCAGGTGTAAGTGGTCTCCGCTCAGTGTTTATTAGTGTTACTCAGTTCAGACCAGGGATCGCTTAGAGTGTCTCTTCTAGTAATTTGCAGTTTTTGTCAAGGGAGTCTAAATTACCTTTCTCTGTTACTGTGTGGTTTGAATGTAAAGATTAAAAATTTGATTACTTCAAAAGTAGTTACCCTTAATGTTATTGAAACTTAGAAAACAGATGTTCACTTTTTTCAACTTATCTTGTAAAAGAACTTACCAGGTTTTGTTATTTTTTGTATCTTGTGTACTATAATAACTAAATGTCTTAGAAGAATGAATGATTAAATCTTAAATAGTCTGTAGTTTAGCGAAGCTTGGGTCGCTGGAAGTTACTTAAATGTGGTTGATAAAATTATAGACTAAACCATTCTGAGTTGGAGAAAAAGTTGAATATACGTGATGAATTACTTTAAAAAATGCTTTGGGAAACTACTTGATATTTATTCATTTTCTAAGTTTTTATTTTCTTAGCCTTCTACATTTAAAAACTGAAGGCATTACTTATGGATTTAATTTTTTTTTTTATTTTTCCAAAGAAAAAAGTTTATCAAATTTTTCAAATCTTAACATTTCTTCTTTAATACATGGAAAATGCTGAGTCTGTTAGTCAAGTCTTTCTTAAATTGTGGAGTTTATTTCTTGTCAGCAGGAAACTGAGTTCTATTACTATTTAAAGATTTTAACTACCATCTGTGTTGATTTTAAGATGTTAGGTAGGGGGATTTCTTAATACTGCTAATGAAGACCCTTTTTGTAGTCCAGGAAGCTAATGAGTTGTTCTACAGGCACAACAGATACAGTTTAAGTGACCCTTCTGTTCTGGGCAGGTGGCTGGAGTAACTGATTAAAGCCTATATGCTGTATTTAGGTTAGTCACAGAGGAGCAAGTCAGGATCAACCATGATTACTGACTTGTCTCTGTCATTCAGGTAAACGAAAAGAAAAGGATAAGGAAAAAAAAGAGAAGCGAGACAAAGATCACTACAAACCTAAACAGAAAAAGAAGAAGAAAAAGAAAAAGAAATCTAAGCAGCATGGTGAGTATGTTAACACCGTAACTCCCTTTTTTTTTTTATTATAAAATGTTTTTGACTTGCCTTTTACCAAAATAGGGATATGACAAGATCCCCATGTTGAGTACTAAGAAATTTCTGTAGCTTTCCTTTGTCTTGATAACTGAAAAAAATCAACTGTTTTATAAATGTCTTTGCAGCTGATTAGAGACTTTGATTTCCAGCATTCTGGGCCACTGGCTTCCGACAGAGCAGCTTTGAGGGCCGTGGACAGTCTCAAACCTTAAAAAAAATAGCATTTAAAAATAAAATATTACCAACTTAATTGTTTCAGGATTTCGGAAAAGAGAGGACACTCTCTGGTGGGGTGAATGGTGTCCCCCTTCCATACCTGTGAATATAACTGTCTTGGGGAATAGTATCTGTGCCCATGTGATTACAAATGAAATCATAGATTTGTGGTGGGGCAAAGAGCCTGGTGTCTTCAGAGAGGAAGAAGAGAGAGGCCTGAGGTACCTGGGGAGAAGGCATGTGAAGGCCAGGCAGCAGGGGGCTGATTAAACCCAGTCTGGAACCACTGGAAACTAAACAGCAAGGAAGGGTTTGGCATGGGGCTGTGAGGAACAAGGCCTGCCTGACACCTGGCTTTGGACTCCTGGCCACTGCACTGAGCATTCTGTTGTTCAGATCCTCAGCTGTAGTATTTGTTGGGTGATCCTGGGAAACTCATGGTAACTCTAAGTCCGTTTTAGACAACAAGTCGCTTTGCGCCCCAGCTCAGAAGAGAGCAGTGTGGCAAAGGACAGTCAAGCAGTTCTCATTTATGATTGTGGCTGTAAAAGCCGTAAACAAATAGCTCAATAAATCCAGCAGTGCATAGAAATGCGGCTACGTTGGGTTAGAAGGCTAAGTTGTTTTGACTTTAGAAAATGAATAAGCAAATTTTACCTCAGTAATAAATGAAAAAGAACAAACATTGCTGTCTTCTAAATTTAGACACACCATTTGAGTCATCCATGTTTAAATAGTTCCTTTTAAAAAAATGGCAAGATTACTATCTGCTGTGTAGTTACTAAGGGGAAGGTGTTTTGGAAGCATAAACATACTAATTTAAGAAAAAGTAACCCAAGCAGAGTCATACAAACTCAGTGTATACAAAGCTGCATTATACATTTGTGGGTAAAAGATGGACTCTTCAGTACATAGCGTTAGAGCATGGGTAACCCAGATAGGGAAGAAAATGATTCAACTCCACACACAGGTAGCAATTCCATGTCAGTTGAGGACTAAATGTGTGAAAGCTGAAACCATAAAACTCCGTAAGGTAGTATATAGAAAAACATCTGTATGGTCTTGGGGCAGGAAGGGATTGTTTCTAAGTGAACCCTAAAGGAAAAGTTTGCAAATTTGACTAGACTGAAATTTATAATTTTGGTTTATGAAAAGTCATAAGCTGGGAAAAACAAAAACAAACAAAACACAAGCCACAAGAAGGTATTTGCAGTGCATAGACCTGACAGACTGCTAGTATTTAGAATAAATTGAAACTCAAAAAAGCAAAGGATCCTGTAAGAAAGTGGGCAAGAGATGTTGACAGGTGCCTTACACAAGTGGAAACCTTGATATGCTGTGAGGAATGTATGGTGTGGTGCACAGACCACAGGAAGCAGGGTAAATGTTTTTTGAGACTCCAGGGACTCTGTTTCTGCCTGCCCCTGCGCAGAGCCTGGGGATGGGCGGTGCTGCCATGAGACCTCAGGCCACCCAACGGGCGCCTCCTCTGGCCGCTGCGCCGCCAGGTGCCCTCCACAGCCTTGCTGACCCCCAGGGGCATGGGGCATAGGCATGCCCACAACCGCGCTGACCTCAGTCAGCCATTCAGGGAAGTCCACAGCACTGTAAGTGAAGAAGTCACGGCCTCAGGAATCCCTAGAATAAAACAGTGAGCTGAAAACCAAGTCCCTGCGCACCATGATCCAGCTTCATTTATATATGTCAAAAAGTTGAATAATACAGTGTTTAGGGATTCAGTACCTTGTAGCAAAAACATTAAAAAGAAAAGAAAAGATAGCAGGAAGGGAATTTATGAGTTAAAGTTGGAAAGTGATGTGGAGGGACCTTAAATGATGGTGATATTTAAGCTGTGCCCCCTGGCACTAATGCCCTGTCAGGGCATCCTTATGTTTGAGCTCTTCTGGGCTGTTTAAGTTCATGGCAGAAGCCATGCTTTCCCTGGGTGCCTGAATCAGAAGAGCGGCCTTTGAGCTGAAAGAGGGGCGAATAACTCTAAGGGACCTCGCCATTGCAAATGATCACTGAGTCCCAGCTGAACTTTAACCATCATGCTGGTATTACTCTGGCCTCCTCCTGCCCCTGACTGACTGGTTTGTATTTGTCTTTGCTCACACACTCAATACCTTATTATCTGATATTTTAAATGAGGCTATACTTAGTAGCAATTCGTTAAATAACTTTTCGTAATTATTGGTACAATACTAGGTTGACATATGTTTTGATTACCAGATTTAGATCAAAAACTAACATTGTGTTCCATCCAGGTGCGTGGGCAATGAGCCTGTTAGGGTTACTGAAGAGTGATAGATTAGCCAGTTTTTAATTTGCTTACTTGGAGCAAGTCTTTCATCTTCCTGTGTTTTATTGTCTGTAAATATGTGGAAGTGGAAGGCAAACAGAGATTAAAACAGCTAGGAGGAGAAATGCTAAGAGAATCCAAAGCTTTGTATATGAAATCAGGCAAAAAATTTTTTTTTCTTTCAAGGAGATTGTAGCTGAAGCACACGAAGTTAGTAATGAGGGATAAGAAGCATGCCCACCTGTCTGCCAGGGAGGTCTGATAGGCTGCATGTCCGTAAGTGGCACAAGTATGTTCTACTTCGAGTGCAGAAAAAAGCTGGTGTGATCAAGGAAGGCCCTTTGGAGATTTCCTTTCAGCCAGGCCGCCAACACAGCTGTAGACGTTTATTCCTAATGGCCACGGGGTGGAGTTGAGAGTTCAGGTGGGTAGAGAACGCTAAGAAGTTGTGTTCAGTTGTTATGTGGCAGATTAAATGTCGGCCATGCATTATTTTATCTCCAAGCTGGGATTTCTCTTATTGTTTGCAGACTCAGACCCTCCTGCTCCACTTTTGTCGAGAGGGTGATATCATGCAGGTGATAAAGGGCAGCTTTGAAAGCAGCACGTGGGTTCAATTCCTGATGGCGATACTTAGTGCCCGGTGACTTGTGGCAAGTGGTTTAAGTTCCATAAACCTCACTTTTCTCACTTTCAAAATGGTAGTGATAGTTTCTTCTTGGTTGACTTGTTGGAGTGCGAGGGGGCTGTCCTGTAGGGCACTCGCCAGACCTGGCTGGCACGACCCGGGCCGCGCGAGGGCGCGGTGTGCGGCGCGCTGACAGCTGGCGTGGCCTCCAGAGGCAGGCGGCTGGCATTCCGAGGCTGCGCTCCTGTTTGAGCGCATCGGCGTTGGGCCCCACCCCTCACCCGCAAGGCGCGAGTCCAGGAGTGCGTGTTGACAAGCTTCCCAGTGTGTCCACATTCATGCTGAAAACCCGGGCTTTGGGCTGGGCAGGGCTTCTGGAGTTAGATGCTGGTTTTGCCGTCTCAGCTGCGTCTCCTTGGGCCGTTTACTTGACCTTTTCTGTGTCTGTCCTTTCATTTATAAAGTAGCACCCGCGACTGTAACTCCCTGCGGGGGCCGCGAGTTAATAGAAGGTAACATGCGAGGAGGCCTGGCGCGCCTCAGGGTGCTGGGTGTGCAGTGCTGCGCTGGCCCCGGGGCTGGAGTCCCACTGCCGCTGTCACTCACTACACAGACCAGGGACTGGAAACAACACAAATGCATTCTTTCAGAGTTCTGACTATCAGAATTCAAAACGGGCTCCGCTGGGCTTAGGTCAGGGTTGCGGCAGGGTGTGTTCCTTTCTAAAGGCTCCTGGAGGGCCGTTGCGAGCGCCACGAGTGGTGGCATATCTGCGCTGGTGTCCCCTTCCACCCTCAAGGACAGTGATGGTCACTCGGGTCCTCCTCCTTTGATGCCACTTCAGCACTGACTTTTCTACTTTTCTGCCTCCCTCCTTCACCTTCAGGCGTCCTTGCAATGTCGCTGTGCCCCCCAGATGATCCAGAGCTGATCTCCTTCCTGAGGATCCACTGATCAGCAATTTTAATTCCTTTTCTCATGGGCCTAAGCTGTTCACAGTTTCCAGGGATAAGATAGAGATGTCAGAGAATAATGGGGACCGTTATAATAATGGGGACCGTTATTCTGTTGCTACAACCGCTGGCTTCCAGTGGGTGCTCAGTACACGGTAGCATTGTCAGCGCTCTGCTCTTGTGAATATTTTGCCAACCCTGTCCGCTTCCCCCTCATTTCCTTTGACTTACTTATCCCCACCTGCCTCAGTTAGTCCTTCGTTTCATACTCGGTCCTGAAGGGAAGCCCTGGCACGGACGCTGGCCCTCTTCCCCACCACATCGCCATGCCCACCTGCACGTCCATTTTTACCCCTTGACTCTGCCAAGGCAATGTGTATCTGGTCGTAAAATCCTGGTATTCCCCCTTTCTGACTGGTTTTTCAAGACCAGTTCATTTTGATCAGAGGTTTATTGCTGAAGGATTCATTGATCAAATTACTGCTATAATAATTGGCTTGCTAGACATGAAAAAGAAAAGGTCAGTTTTCAGCTTGCATATTTTACTGCAGACATAGCTGTGGCTGTAGTGGAGAGAAAAGGTAAAAACAATCCTTCTTCCCTTCTGGACAACTTTACTGGTACCAGGTCAAACAGTGACTCCCGCCTCGCCTGTGCTGCTGCCTGGGGCCGACTTCCAGGTGTTCTTGCCAAATGCAGTTTTTCAGACACATCATCATCCAGCTGTTCATAGATGAAGGGAGGGAGTAGTGGCGTGAATGCTTTGTATATCCTGAAACATGACTTTCTTGTTGTTGTTAAAGTGACTCTTCTTGATGACCTGACACTTGATTAATGCTTCTTTATGTATCTTATGTTGCAGACTATTCAGACTATGAAGACAGTTCCCTAGAATTTTTGGAAAGGTGCTCTTCTCCACTAACTCGATCTTCTGGGAGTTCTCTGGCTCTACGAAGCATGTTTACGGAGAAAAATACAACATATCAGTACCCAAGGGCAATTTTGTCAGTTGATCTTAGTGGTGAAAGTATGTGTAACCATGTAATGCTTAAAACAAGTCTTAAGATTCTTAAATATGGAAATGAGAATAAAACATATTTAATTGAGGGCTTATCTGAGCAGGGCACATGTTATAAAAAGTTATTCCATGAACTAATATGAAAATGTCAACATTAGAAATTTGAGGTACTTTTAAACTCCTAAAAAGTTGGTGTTTATACTCCCACGAGCGATGGTAAGGAAACTTCTGGCATCTCTGTAGACTGGTTTTCTGTAGGTGTTTTTAACATATCTTCTCATATTTTTCACTTCCAATTTATAAAGTAGACAGTATTCCCATGACATTGATAAATAAGCAAAGGCGTATAGATGAAGCAACTTTTCAGCTTAGTGTGTTTTAGAACTAAAACTCAAGGTCTGTCTTAACTTCAAAGGTAATGCTTTTTATTTTTGTCAAGTACTTGTTTAGTCCTAAAATATATACTTTGAATTTCTCACCACAAATAACACTTGTCGCGAAAGGTTTGAGAATGCGTCAGATCAGTGCTTGTGCGCAGTCAGGTATTAGTTGTTCCTACAGGGACGCAGGCCGGCGCAGGCTGTGGAAAGAGCCCTGGGCTGGGTCTGTCCATCTCTGCAAGCCCAGCCATAGCAGTGAGAAGTGTGAGGACACTGCCTTGCACTGTTCTAAGCAGTGGGAAGGGAGACCCGCCCAGTTAGAAGCGATGTCAGTGACTTGAGACGAGAGGTCTGTCTGGCATGGTAGGGTGCTGCGCGAGGGAGTGAAGAGACCCCGGGAATAATTGCCAGTGCACTCACTTCTGCCTTTCTTCCAGAGAGCCTTACATGGTGTCACTAGGCAGAGTTTTCTGTTGGACTGTTACCTGCTCTCTTCCAAGCCTAACAGCTCTCTCTCACAGTGGAGAAAAGCACACTCCGCCTTTCAAAAAAACAATAACAGGAGGGAAAATGAGGAAAAAATCCCTCTCTACCCCACCCATACTCTCTCCATAGCACAGGTTCCCTTCCGCATTTGGGCCACCCACTGTGCTTCAAGCCAGCTGTGCATGATAGTTATCGCTCTGATGCTCTTAAAATAAAAATACACTGACACTGGGCCCTGCCACAGAGTGCTGGTGCATGGGGGTGCGGGCCACGCCTGCGGCAGGGCAGCAGGTGTTGGAAAGTCACATGAGAACACACAGCCCGTGAGCCGTGAAGGTCTGAAAAGCGTCTGTCTCAGACAGCGGACGAGAGCGGGGGAGTGTATCTGGAGGAATGGTGTGCCGGCACTAGAGCATTTGGGAGAGGGCTGAAAAGAGTGCCGTGGAATCGCACCCCAGTGCCAGCGTTCTTTGCCTCGTCAAGCACAGGCTATGAGGAAGAGGGCAACCAGGAGAGTCTCTGATGGGTAGCTTGCGTGAGGAGCACCCGGGGAGCTTGCTCAGACAGTTCTGAGCCTCCCGGAACTTCTCGTTTCTAACGAGCTCCCGCGTGGTGTGCGTCTGGAACCCACGCTGAGCATGCTGTCTTGGGAAATAGCAGTGGTGGCTGGGGGAGCTGTTGGAGGGAAGGAGGGGATGAGGAGGGTCTTTGTGGCCCTCCCTGGCAGCTAGTGTCCAGGTGGCTGCTTAAGGGTGAGAAGCAACTTGGATGTGCTTTTTTCTGACCTCTTTCAGTCCAGGAGTCATTTATGCCACCCCTGCATATCGGCCAGAAATCAGTTTGACGTTTGGGAGTCAGTTCCCCAAACTGGATTTTCTGGCCAGTGATTGTGGTCATAGCAGCCCATGGGAGGGGCATGCTGGCTCAGGGATCATGGTTTTCAGCTGATTAGTAACTCACTGCTACGCATTAATACCACATTAATAGATCTATGTAGAGAATAGATACGTGCACATCAATATTACTGGAAGCTGTTTCTCCACATTTTAGTCTGCCGCTTGGGGATAGACTTTGTATTCAGGAAAGTCCAAAAGAAAATACTAATTTTGGAGTTAAGCCAGCAAAATTACAGTGAATGAAATTTTCTCTGATTCTCAAAACTACTGTATGTAATTGGCTTAGTTCTTGTACCTCAACTGTTTTCATGTATTTATTACCCTCTTATTTCCACTATGTTTATCCAGTATGCCCTAAGGCACAAAAGGAAGAAAACTTGCTAAAAAAAAAGAAAGAAAGAAAGGAAAACTTTGATTTTTTATAAAACATTAACTTTTTATAAAAATAATAAAATATTTGAAAACAGTAATTGGGAAAAGTAAGAGTATAAGCTGATAGAAAATACACTAAGTCATGAAATACTGGTAAATTGCGTGCATTTTTAGTTTGAACTCAGCCTCTTTCCATCTGGCCTGATTAAGTGTGAGGGAAATTGCCTGCCTGGCCTCCCCCTCGCTCTTCCAGATGGTCTCACATGCTACTGTGTAATCGGGCTCATGCTAAGAGCTGGATTGGGAACTTTCAACTTTACAAAACCCTTTTTCTTATGGACTCTTGACATTCTGGAAAGGGGCAATGAGAAGCCAGTATATGACTATGCCATTCAGAATGGCTGGGAGGACCACCTCTGTCCCCAGAGCTCAGAGCGCCTCAGGAGCCCTGGTAGCCTTCAGGTCTGATGACTCAGTTTCCCCAACATTACTACATAAACTTTAGTGTCCTCTCAACCTTTTCCCTTTGTTGTAAATGACTATTTTCTTGTTTGCCTCAACTTTTGTTTTTCTCAATAGCTTGAGCTAAATGGTTGTAGTTGATGTCAATGCTTACAAATTCAAGCCTGTAATCCAGCATGTAAGTTATATGTAGGTGGTCCTCCATATAATCTAGTTTCCGTAATGTATTCCTTTTTCTAGAGCTTTTTATCAAAATGAAATCTGGAATGTATAATCCCAGCTTAAGAACTACTAGTGAAATCATTAAGGTGGGCCCTGCATCTCGAAATCATGAATGTTATCTGCCAGTGTTGCGTGAATAAGCTACATGCGTGCATTTATATCTACATGGACCTATTGAACAGGGCATACAGTCAGGCACTCGTGTGCCCAGTTGGCTTCATCATGTAGTAGCTACCTTCCTTGGGAAGTTTCTCTCTGATAGTTACAATGCTTGGTATGATGTGTGGTGCCTTTCGGGGCGGGGATCACGGATGCCAGTACTGCTCAGAGTGGTGGTGTTGACACATCTCAACTGGCGGGTGCGCCTCTGAGAGGCTGTTCACGATGCTGATCATGAGACCTGGTCTCTGACCACTTGGATTCTTGTGGGGACCGGAAGGGAGAACATTTGTGAAAGCATCTGAAAACTGCCAGTTTGGGTTAACTCGTCTCTGCTGCAGCCTCTGTCAGTACCTGTACGAGGGGCGGCTCCGTCCCCTGTGGCAGTGTGTGCAGTCGAAGGCCAGGCAGTCACAGCTGCCTCTGCTTCGAGATGTTGTTGCTGTGTCCAGAGACAGCTGATCTGTCCCCACGTGTTGGCCCGCCCTTTCTAAGTATTTAGCAGCTTAGATCCACTTGCCATACATATCATCTTTCTGGAACATGACATAGAAATGGGGAAAATATGAGTGTTGTTCTTATATGTTCTAGACCTATCAGATGTGGAGTTCCTAGATGATTCTTCGACAGAGAGTTTGCTTCTCAGTGGAGATGAGTATAATCAGGATTTTGACTCAACCAATTTTGAGGAATCTCAGGATGAAGATGATGCTGTGAATGAAATTGTACGGTGCATCTGTGAAATGGACGAGGAGAATGGCTTCATGATTCAGGTGATTCAGGTGCCTCCCTGCCCCAGCACTGAGGTGTCCCCGTGGGTGCTCAGGGCAGCCGCTCTCCTGCCGGCTGTCCTAGTTCAAGGGAGATACATGACTTCCTGGCACACTCACGTGCAGTAGTGTTGACTGGGAAATCCTGGCGTGAAGTGGACAGTGTTCATGCCTGAGGGTCTTGATCCCTGCGCTTGGGTGTTGGAGGCCTGAGTCAAGCTGGGTTCTCCTCAAGTGGGTCCAGGTGGGCTGCTGGCGTGGCAGCCCTTCCCTTACTGGGCTGGATCCCTGCTGTTCAGTCATTGACTTCATATAACCACCCTTCAATGGGCAGACACCGAGACATCAAAATTTCCACTAATCACAGAGATTGAAGGAAACGGATGCAGAGGTCAGTCACCACAAGCAGTTACTCCCCGCGGAATGAGTATCTTTCAGATGACTTTGGGTGATTCAGTGCCATTAGTTAAGGGATGGTTTTCTCAGCAAGGGACCTCGAGGCGTCTGTGCTGGCCACAAGGCTAGTTTGAGGTGGGCACTGCTTCAGCCCCTTTCTGCACTTGAATAAGCTATTTGTCAGCCTTGTGAGGGTGGGTTGCCAAAAAATCAGTGGGAAATAGAGGCAGGAAATACCTTATGACTTTTTCTTTTTTTAACAATTTAAGCTGATTTACCAAGTACATTTTAATAGGTACAACAGGAGGATGTTCTTGGGATAGTTGACTGTTTAAATTGATCTTAAGTCACCACTTGATTTTGTTAAGCCAAGTAAGACTCGAATGGGCTGCAGCAGCCCGGAGCCCGGAGCCCGGAGCCCGGAGCCCGGAGCCCGGAGCCAGGAGCCAGGAGCCCAGCAGCCTGCCTGCAGGAGGGCGACTGCGTGTGTGCAGGGCTGGGCAGCGGTTCTGAGCGCCCTCTCTCCCGCAGTGCGAAGAGTGCCTGTGCTGGCAGCACAGCGCGTGCATGGGGCTGCTGGAGGAGAGCATCCCCGAGCAGTACATCTGCTACATCTGCCGAGACCCGCCAGGTAAGCCCCGCCCGGGCCGCCGCTTCCCGCGCCGTCTGGGCCAGGCACCGTGCTTCCGTGAGACACATGCACCCCGCTTTTCAGTGTTCGTTGCGCTCTTGTTTTCATATTAACTCCTGTGGGCAGAAATGCTAGCATGAATCTTTGAAAATTACTTTCTTACGGGAACTTTCGATGTACGACTTTTTCCTGGAGAGGAGCTGGCCTGAAGGCTGCGCCTGTGCAGCGACTTCCAAAGAGGTCGCAAAGGAGGCCAGTCCGAAGGGGCTGTTCTGAGCTTGGGGTGCTCGCGACGTGACTTCAAAGTGGTGTGAGATGCGGCAGCTTCGCCAACTGCATTGAAAAAATAATGGAGTCTCAGGTTATCTCTTCCAACCCCTTTTACTGACGGCCAGCTGGGTACGGAAAGTTGGCCACCTGCACGCGGACTAGTGTGGGCGCGGCGGGGCCGCGGTCGAGCCGAGGTGGCGCCGGGCCCCTTGGCCTGTATCTGCCGGGCTTCCCCTGTGCTGCCCTTTCAGCTTCCAGGGCAGAAAATAGCCAGCTGTTTTCAAATAAAAAGCCAGTGAATTGATTGTCGCATGTCTGTCAAAAGTAACAGTAAGGAGCAGGATTATTACAACCGGTCTAGTCGTCAGTTGGCAGCATTTACTAAATGCCTTCTGCTCGCCAAGCACTGTGGGGAGAGGTAAGAAATCACTTCTACCACATTCCCAGTCACGCGCAGTCCGGCGGGGCGCAGGCACGAAAGCCGCTGAGTGTAAGGAGGCAGGAGGACTGGTGACCTCCCAGCGGAGCATTGTGCAGGGTTCCTGGAGGCCTCAGACGTGGGCGGGCTCCCTGTGCACCTAGCTAGAAAGCTCTTTGTGTCATTCAAAGCAGACCGGTGAGGCAGCGACCTGCCTAGATCCTGGGCAGCCCCAGCTTGCGAGAAGAGGTGGCGGCTGTAACTGGAAAGGGGTGTTCTCTGGGGGCCGCCAGCACGCCGCACCCTCAGAAAGCCAGCGCCCTTCTGGGGAGGAAATCTGAAGGCGGCAGCCTCAGGTGCTGCCTTTCTCTTCTTTTGAAGTTGTTCTTTGCTGGAGAGCACCCTTGCTCACTGAATGTTGTCAGGAGGGCGGGCACAGTTGAGGGAAACCTGGGTGGAACCCCTGGTGACCTTAAGGTCAACTCCTTCCACAGGTCAGAGGTGGAATGCAAAATACCGCTATGATAAGGATTGGCTGAATAATGGGAGAATGTGTGGACTATCCTTTTTAAAAGAAAATTATTCTCATCTCAATGCCAAAAAGATAGTTTCCACACATCACCTGCTTGCCGACGTCTACGGTGTCACAGAAGTGCTGCATGGGCTGCAGCTCAAGATCGGGATTCTAAAGTAAGTGGGGGGGGGGGATGCTGGAGGGAGGTGGCTCAAACTCAAGTCACTTGACCCTTTGAAGGTGCACATGAGCAGTCTGGAAGTCGGGACAGGTGCTGGGTATGTTTGGGCTTAAAGCAGAGGATTTAACTTTGGATGAGTAGACACTTCATGCCTGTGTCCTGAGTGGACAAGCTGGGCTGAAGGCAGATGCAGCATCTTCAGCAAACATGAGTCCTGGTGCCACTGTTTGGTGGGCTCTCCCTGTGCACACAATGAGGTGTAGTCCCTATGGGGAGCCCTGTATTTTGTGACCCCCTTCAGGAATGCAAATAGATGCAAGAGTCTATTTTTTCATTACTGGAAGATTGAATTTGCAGGGAGTCAGCAGGCCATGGGAGCACCTCTGTGTGCACCAGGTGTCTCCTGGTCATCCCGGGCCATTTTCCATAAAGAAAACAGCCTGAGTTGTCCTAAACCACAAATCAGAATGTTCTTGGAAGTCCTTGTTTTCATTTTTCCTAACACCTCCCTGGAGTTCTTGTCAAAAAAGTAACCAATAAACATTTCATCTAAAATAGGAAGATTCATTAAGGTTCTTCACAACATTTTCCTCATTTGGACTCACTTGCCTGGGCTGGAAACTTGCCCCTTGCCTCACCTCACCCTGTCTCGGGGCTGCCCACACGGTCCTGTTGTGGTGCTGAACGTCATTGGTCCCTGTCCCTCTTGCCGTGCTGTGCTACCTCTGTTCAGCCTGCTCTTTTCCCGTGTGTTGTCACAGGAATTTTGAGTTCACCTTCATGTCATTGCCACTGCAAGTTGGTGTAAGGTAAACAGGGCTTGCCTCTTGGCTTCATAGGTCGTGGAATCTGCTGGTGCCTTGTGAACGGAACCTGAGCTCTTCAGCAGGCAGCCCTTCCCTGGAGTGTTCCTTCTTTTCATCTTGTTGCCATGTCTTCCCTCTTCACTTTTTCCTCTAACTGTCCCATCCATGCCAACTCCTAATCTCTGAGTGAAACATGCATTTTCTTATCTCTGGGCTTTACTCACACCCAGAATAAACTGCCACTTGCGCCTCCAGCTGACACCTTTTCCCGGGTGCCACCTGCCTGCCTGGCACCCACCATGCTGCCAGGTCCACCATGCACGCCAGGCGCCGAGGTGTGCTCATCTGACCGCTCACTAGCCATGGGCTCCTTGACGATGGGGCTGGTGTCTGGGCATCATCTTATCCCTAGTTTGTAATGTAAGGGTAAGTACTCAGTTCCTGATTGTTGAGGAAATTTGTTCCTGTTGTATATCATAGCTCTAAATAGGAAGTTAAGATGCCAAGCAAGTGCTGAAATTCAAGGGAGTCTTTCTTTTTTTTTTCTTTTTAAAGATTTATGTATTCATACAGAACTGGGGTACAGGCCAGAGATGCGGAGGGTGAGAGGCTTCACCAGAGACAGAGTGGGGAGCAGAACAGGCAGATCGACGAAGTCCACTGCTGAGGGGAGCAGCGGGCGGGTCAGGAGAGGTCTGCCGCGCCATGTGGTCACCTCCGGGGCAGGCGGGGATCGAACTCATGCGGAAGTGGCTTAAGCTTCTTAGTGCTGTGCTTTAACCCGCTGCGCCACCAGGGAGGGCCCCTCACGGGAGTCTTTTTAAAAAAAAAAAGCTTGCTTTCCCCTCTTGCTGTCAGTCGGACTGTTTCTGCATTCGTAACTCGCTCAGGACTTGGGCGGGCCGTTTCTGCCTCGTGCCTACGTGCCCGCCTTGTGTTCATGCTTCCGATAATAACAGCAGTGAGTACCGCTGGCTGCTTACGGATGGTGTGCGCTGCTCCAGGAGTTGGTGTTTTCATATGATATTTAAGTTCAGCTTGTAAAATAAGTCCTGCCTCACTGATAGCTGGGTAGTCAGTGACAAGGTTCTGTCTCCCCTGGCTCCTTCCTCCGCACAGCCGGATTCAGCCTGTTGCACTTCTAGGCTGCAGAGCCAGCTTTCTTTCTAGTGTTGGACAGTTGTAGTATTTTCTGGATATTAAATTATTAGGGATCCAAAGGATGAAAATTACAACTTCAGAAAAAAAAATACTTGGGTGTTATTAGAAGAAAATTAACTAACTTAATCCTGGCATTTGTCTAACTTGGACATAATCCACTCACAGACTTTTTGGAGACTTCTGAAAGGATTGTGCTTACCAAACAGCCTCCTGCCACTGGAGCTCTGCATGATTCCTGTTACACTGACTGCAGAACTTTAATTACCACAGGGTTGACTATGCAGTACCGTGCCCATGTGTTCGGTGACGATGAGCATGAAAAGCCTGATCATAGACTGTCAGGGACGGTGTACACAGCGCACCTTCTCTGGAAACCACACTTACTATACTTTCCCAGGGATGCGCGCACGCACACACACACACACACACACACACACTCTCTCTCTCTCTCTCTCTCTCTCTCTCTCTCTCACTCTCACACACGTCTCTGTGGGGAAGTGACTGGCTAGACAAGCCCAATACATTTATTCTGCTCAGCTTCTAGGTAAAAAGTAGAGAATTCTCTGGGTACTGGTCTGGCAAGACGGCTGTACTGTTCCACATAAAAATGGCATATTGTTTGAGAGTCTCATTATGTAAAAAGAGAAAGTGTCTGTTCAGCCACTGTGAAAATAACTTTGTACGTACAGAGAAAACCTGCAAGATTATGCCTGTTACCGAGGATTGCCATGGTTTAGGACTTTGACTTAGCACAAATTTGTAGTCCAATTTTTTTGTGATAAGTACGACTTTTCAGTTGAATGAAGATTTTAAAATATGCTAATATAAAAGTTCTTACCCAATACAAAAAAAAACTACTGCAATTAAAAAATTAGAAAAAGAAGTCCATGTACCAAATAGTACTGTGAATTATCACCAGAATTAAATTCACTATTATTTTTTTATCTCAGTATTTCTAGAAAATTATGACGACTCAGTCTTTGATTAAATACTGAGACAGTTTAGCCTAGAGAGTATCTTCACTTTTATCTCAAGTCCTTGAGCTCTTCTGAGCCTGGCTCTTGTGCTGGGTCAAGTCTCCAGGAGGGAGTTGGATTCAGGCCTGGGTGGGTGTCCTCTGCATAGAAAGGCATGGCCAATCAGGATTAATACGTGACTTCCATTGTGACTGGTATTATGGCATTTGGCTTTTCACTATCCTTTTTTCTAAACTACTGTTTCTCCAACTTTGGTTTAAGGAATAAGCAGCATCCTGACCTTCGTCTCTGGGCTTGTTCTGGGAAGCGAAAAGACCAAGATGAAGTAATCGCTGGAGTAGAGAAAAAAATCACAACCGTGCACGACACAGCCCATCTAGAGGACAAGAAATCCCATGTACAGAACCATAAAGAGCCGCCCCGTTTGCCCTTAAGAGTGGAAGGCACTTACATAACCAGTGAGCACAGCTACCAGAAGCCCCAGAGTTTTGGCCAAGACTGCAAATCTCTTGTAGACCCAGGGAGCTCAGATGAAGATGATGTTAGTAGTTTTGAAGAAGAACAAGAATGCCACGTGAGAGAGAGAAGCCATTTCCAGTACTCAGTGAAAGATGGAGTAGCTGAAAAGGTACAGCTACTGCATGGGCCTTTGCTTAGAAAGTAGGGTAGAAGAACAAAGGGAAATTTAATAAAGCAAAGCATGTTGAGTGCTACATTTTACTTTCATTTCCAAGCTCACAAGTACCTTGTTAGGGTAAAAACATTTCTTTGTTTCTCCATAAGCAAACACTGGCCATTTAGCCAATTTAGAGTCGTAAAAATCAGTACGCTTTTACCCTGACAAAAGTTTCGATTTTATAAGCACCCCTCGATACCTCCAGAAACCTGAGCCCCTCTTAGGCCACTGATGATGTCTGTGTGTGAGCATGATGTGCTTATGGGTATATGCAAGTTAGTACAGTCCGTCTTCCTTTATACATGCTGGGTACGGTATATGTGCGATCACGACAGTATCTTTGTCTTATTTTTTTACGTGTTTTAGATAAAAGTGGGGCTTACAAAAATTTTAGCATATCAGACTCACCATGCAGTAAGTGCAGATTCTGCAGCAGGGTGCACGGCGGGCGTTGGAGCTTCCCTGCTCAAGGGGCAGTCGGAGAGGGGCCTGCACCTGTGTAGATTTTCAGTTAGAAATGCCATTTTAAATTGGGTTATTATTCCAGCCTCCTTTGTCAAGTAATCATTATAAATTAACACTTAACTGAATGTGAGAACCTGGCATTTCGTAAACCTTGGAGTAAGTAATTTTATCAAGTTAATATTCATGTTATGAAAGTGGGGGCTATCTGATGATCTGAGTTCAGGTTGTATGTTACGCAGTTTGCATTTTTTAAATTTTTTAAAAATGTTTTTCTTTTACCTCATTGATTTTACCTAATAGCAAGCCCAATCTACAGTTAACTAGGCTATCTGCTGGTTTCTGACAACATTTTTGGTATTTCCATCATTGCTTTAAGCCTTCGCTACACTTATGTCATTGGTTCCGACTGAGAAGAGGGTGAGTTTAAGATGGCAGGCTGAGCTGGGAATAGGACCTAGTCACCAGCTCTGTCTGCACCTGGGCTGAGCACTTGCACCTGTACCACGCCTGGTGGGTGTGGGGGCCGCTGTGGGAGGGCTGGCTCCCAGGCCTGGCAAGTGTGTGAGCACTTTCTCTGATACTATTCTGGGGGTCAGGCTCAGGTTGAGTTTCACCACTCATGGTGGGTGGTGAGGGTTTTAACACATCTTTCCCTTTGTGGCATTACATTTCTTCCAAATCTGTTTTTTTTTTTCTTTTCTTTTCTTTCTTTCAATGATTCTTTGGCAAAGAATCCCGCTGCAAAGAATACAGTGTTTGTCTATCATGATAAAAAGGGCGCCGACGACCCTGGAGCCTCGCATCTTCAGTGGCAGCTCAATCTCCTGACACACATAGAGGATGTGCAGAACCAAGTCACCAGCAGGATGGACCTCATAGAGAAAGAAGTGGATGGTAATTTACGAAAGAACTATAGTTTGGAAAGTATGCTGATTGTTACTGTGAAAAAAGTGTTTAAGTGATGGGCTAGAGCTACAGCTGTGCCTCATCTGTTTACCACAGCTGGTGTTGGGCTTCTCCCAGGTGTTACTCAGTACTGCCTGCAGCAGAGCAGACTCACCTGGAGGCCATCCTCTGGGCTGTGTTTTCTTTGGAAGTCAGCCAGGGGCCTTGAGCATGTTTGAATGGGGGTGGGCAAGGAAGCATTTAGGTTCTTTGTTTTTACTTTGGTTGGTATTTATTAAGTGAGATTAACAATAGCAAAAAACCTCAAAGTTAAGTAGATAAACATAAGTTTATATACAAATTTTTGTAATGTTTTCTTGGTATTTTTACTTCTTGACAGAGGAATGATCAGAAGTCGGGGAAAATAACTACCCTGCCTTATAGTAAAGGAAACTGAGTTCTAACATGCTTTTATTTTATTTATTTTTTTTTTATTGATAGTGGGATGAGATGGCCCTGAGAAATTGCCACTTCTTTTCTGTCATTAAAAAAATGTCGGGATTAAAAAAAAAATGGCTAGCATAGCTAAATTCCATTTAGAGAGGGTCTGTGTCTGAACTAACGGGAAGCTTGAGCAGGCGAGGTAACTGTTGTTTCCTGTTCTGGAAGAAATGGAAAGGACGCATTCAAAAGGAGTTCAGTGGACATACATAAAAGAGGGAAACTATCCAAAATGATAACAGATCAGGGTTACCAGGAAGGAATAGAATTCTCGTGGGGTGAGATAGAAAAGATGCTAAGCCTCTCCGAAATGGCTGGAATGTACGGTCTTCTGGAGAAGGGGAGTGAGCTCTCGTCTCTGTCACTTTCCCACCATCTTGATGCCATCCCATGACTTCTTCCTGTCGCCATTGAAATTCTGTTCTCTCTTCCAGTTCTGGAAAGCTGGCTCGACTTCACAGGGGAGCTGGAGCCGCCTGACCCTCTTGCCAGACTGCCCCAGCTTAAACGCCACATCAAGCAGCTCCTGATCGACATGGGCAAAGTGCAGCAGATCGCAGCTCTCTGCTCTGTATGACGACAGTGAGCGGCTGAGGCGGCGTGGTGCTCGTCAGCCAGTGACTGTTGTTCTCCACACAGCGAGTGGAGAATTAAGATAAGAGGAGGGTGAAAAAGCTAAGTGGTGTTTGGCCATTAGCTGATTAGTGACATCAGGAAAACACCCTGAAAAAGAAAATGAACAGTTTCATCAAGGAAGCTAATTAAAATTTATGAGCAAGCCACAGATGATATGTGCTGTACGCCAGGATCAATGAAGTAGTGTGTCATTTGTACTAAGGAAATTGAATTAGCAAATTTTTAAATGCTTGCTATATGAAACTTGAGATGCCTGTAGAGGAGCGTGGTGCGTTCATAGTTTGTCGTGGGAGAGCCATGTTTATAAACCAGCAGTTTGGCCAAAATCAAAAGTATAGAGGAAACTCAAATTCTGGAGTGCTCTGTAAGTTATTCTAAGAACTGTCTTCTCTTGCAGTGGATCCATTGCACCAAAATTTGGGTATTTCAGCTTTCGTAGGATCATGAGCTATTTCTTAGGTGACCAATGTCCTTAATCAGAAAACTGACAGTACAAGTCTCACTTCTGGGGGAAACAGTTGTGGAATTCTGACTTCATTATGAATATATTTTTGAAAAAACAGACAGCAATCATTGTAATGTATTGCAGGCATTAAGCTCGGTCCAAACCAGGTGGCGTGCAGAAGGGCCTGTGTGTGCCAAATGCCGCTGGTGCGCTGCCACGAGAGGGCCCGTGCCTGGGCCCAGCCGTCCGGCCCTTGGCCGTCGCCTGCAGGGTGCCTCCTGCGGACCCGGCCGCCCGGAAGGGACGCCACCCGCGGTACTCAGGCCTTGACTCGCAGCTGGGTGCCGAGAACGCGCTGCTGTTGCCTTCAGAAGAACTGTACATAGCCTCAGCTGGGATGAGGAGTGACAAAACTATCAAAGTAATGTGTGGCTGTGGACTTTTTAACTGCTGGTAGTGAAATACTGGAAAAGCTTCATTTCTGAAGATGAATTTTATTTTTAAAAAATACATGCGCACTCAAAACGTTGAGCTTTGATCACACATGGACAAATCCCTGAAACCAAAGGCAACCAAGTTGCTGTGTTAGCTCTTGCTGGGCCTGAGCCCAGGCCGTCTGCAGTGCTGAGCTGTGCCCAGGTGTGCCCAGGTGTGCATGCTTGTTTGAAACAAACACTCGCCGTACATATGTACATACTCTATGCATATTTATATCCACACATATCTAGTTTTATTACGATAGTCTATAAGAATTGGCGGTTAACATGAAATGTTGCCTTTTAACAGACTGTTTTTAAAAATTAAAAATGTATGTACAGGTTTTGAAACTTTTTTAAAAAGGGGGGAAAGGCTGTTTAGAGGAGGCTATTGGGGACACACACTTGAATATTTCATGCCTCACTCTGTCTGTCAGTTCCAGCGGCCTGTGTAAGTGCATTTAGAATTGACAGACAGGACACTTGAATCTATCTTTGATAAGAACCCATGCCACTGTACATTCAGATATTATTTAAATTTGCAAACACACTGTTCTATATGTAAGGTACTGTATGTAAAACTCTTTATTAAAACTATTCCACATATCCCAAAATTTCAGTTTGCCTTTTTGCAGCCTTACGTTTTGATGTAAAGATGATTAAAAGAATGTGCAAAAACGTTGCTATGAAATTTTTATTGCCTTTTGAGATTTTCCGTCTTAACAAATGTGCCAAAGATCAACAAACATAAAATCCAGTCCTCGATACCGTCCTCTGTATTTACTTGCGATGCGTTACTTTGTCAGTGGTCTTACTGAGAAATGAAAAACTTTAGCAGAGGTGAATGGGTAGTTGTTTACATTTGCATATTAAAGTAAAAAAAAAATAGTGCCTTCATTCCATGTGTTCAGAGATGGTACTTTTTCTTTTCTATTTAAAAACAACAGCTCAGCTCTGACCTTTTCCCTGTTGTGGTTAAATTTCTAGGCCTTGAAGTTATGCCTTTTTTCTTCAGAAATGCAAATTGTGTATTTAATGTAGGAATAGTGATGCTGCCTGGGGATTCTTGTTAGGTTCACAGAAGACTTTTTACACCCACTAACACATCTTTTCAGTCCTAGGGGCCATGGTTCAATGAAAGCATATTTGTTCTTACTGTATCTTAGAGTACTTTGTTAGTCAGCAAACTGGAAGTTCCCTTAATAATTAGATTGCTAAGGCTTCTGCTGTACTTCCACGTATATGAACTGGAAATAATGGATTTTTAATCTGAATTGTTGAGGTAAATCTCTACCACGTTACTTCTATGCACAGAACCATTTGATGCGGACTACCAACAGTTGGTAGAAGCCTTTTAGCAGCTGGGCCTGAACCTTGTTAAAGAGAATGGATTAGGTTTTGAGAAATAGGTACAACCTGAGAAGTTTCAGCCTGAAAGGTGATGTTCTTTCTACTTAATCTCACTTTGAAAACATAGCTATTATATATTTAAGTAAAAGCAATAAGCTCAAAAGAGTATTTCTCAAAAAGATAACTTCTCATTTCTTCCCAGAGTAAAAAGAGTAGTGGTAGAGAGCGATCCTTCCTTCTGATGTTTCCTCTGACACATTCTCATCGTCATAGTCTACACGTTCAAAATGAAGCAACACTTACTCCCTCAACCTGCTGGGTCCCCTGGAAACCCCGCTGTCTCCACTAATCACATTATTCTGGGGGCCCTGGCTTGAAATGCGCCTTCCTCTCTGACAGCCTTCTCATCCCTAGATGTGCTAGTTCTTGAGAATGGGTGGTGGCTATCTCCTATTATGGTGCACCATTTTTCGTGAAGTCGTGTCATGGAGGAATTCCTATTGGCCTTTGAAACGGTAACTTGTTTTTTATTATAGCTCAGCAAAGTGGTCATTTCCAGGCTAGGAGGTTAGTGCTTGGTGCCCACTTGGTGCCGGGCATTGTACATGTTCCTTGTGGAATCTAATCTCTTGTAGACAAAACAGGATTATTTTCAAGACGGCCAAGCTGTGATTAGAGACTTGAGATGTGTCTTAGGTAAGACATTAGTGGCAGGTCCAACATTCAAGCCCTGGGCTAGTTAACCTCAAACCCTTTTCTTAGTGGGTCTATTTCAGCTGTCTCTGTCAAGTTAGCGTTCTGAACTGAAATAATTCCTGCCCCCCTATTTCAGAGCAGACAGGTCCCGCCTCTGCCATAGGCATCTTCCGGCCCTGCCGGGAGGGAGAGCAAGTGAATGCCTATCACCACCAGGTAGAGGTGGAGGGGGTCCCGGCTCCCCACTGGCTCCGCTGAGGTCACGTTGGCAAGGGACTTGGGGAGGAGACTGGGGAGGCTGGAACTCCAGCTTGCTAGTCAACCTCTGTTGTAGTGTGCGTGAGGGTGGAGCCGCATTTCCTTGTGAGGATTGCCAGACAGACCTTTATTATCCAGATGTTTTCTGTCTTAGCCAGCCCTTGGACTTCTGATGCGAGGGGTTTCGTTTTTTGTACTTACTGGCATTTCTGGTTGCCAGTCTCTCCCACAGCCCAGTTTGGGGTAGATTAGGCAAGATAAAATCCAGAGAGCTTACACCCATATCGTCCTCTGGCCCAGAAAGGGAAAGGTGACCGTCTTCTACCTACCTGTCTTCCATACCGTCTGCCGACCTACCTTTCAGGGTCTTCTGGTGCTTTAGAGGTGTAGCTGGGGGTCTCGGCTGTACTTAATAGGAGGGCAAGGGGAAAATATGACCCCATCCCTCTGGGAGCAGAAGCAGAGTACCAAGGATTTTTAGAATTCTCTGGAAACCTAGGAGAGGGGGATGAACCCTGATCGCTGGGAATGGGGGAGAATGTGGGAGGTGGGGGTGTCCCCAGCAGGAGTGGCAGCCTAGGTCAGGGCGGTCCACTTTGGTGGGCAGCAGGTGGGGGTCAGCAGGTGCAGCTCTGATGTTTTGAATCTGTTTCCTCCTGCCTGCCAGTGTCTCAGGGTTTCCCCCAAGTCCTCAGTAAGCACTAACTATAGCGTGCATCCATGAAGGGGACTGGGGATCACGAAATCAAAACTGATTTTAACAGAGGACACTACAACAAAATTCATGGGCATCTGCCATGCCTGACCCCTCAGTGGCCTGGATTTTTGACCTCACCAGTGACCCGGAGCCAAACAGCACCTGACACCAGTTGGGGTTGGGGAGTTTGGAAAGAACCCCCCCACGGGATGGGCCCCACCCCCATGAGGGAGTCGTACTGCGGGCCTCTCCCCATTTGCATTTTCTTTCATCTTTTAAAGAACTGATTTTTCTACCAGAGGGTAGGGTGGGGAACGCTGTGGAGCTGGTACAGTGGCTGTGGTGGAGGACTGTGGGCGCTCAGGACTGGCTGTGGTGTGGCCCCATACACCTGGAAGGTGTCAACCTGTACCCCACTCCTACACGTTGTCAACCAGCCTCACTGACTACATTTGCTAGTTTACCTGTAGGAGACCACCTGCCTCGCAACTGTCTTTTCGCCCTGGAGCCCTGGGAGTGCTTGCAGGGGCTGGCCCGGTGCCCCCAGTCTGCAGCCCCCCAAAGGCCACCAATAAAACCTTGTTTCCATGAGTAGGCAAGTTCTGACCGGCTCTTCCGCACAGCGGGGAGGTGAGGGAGAAGCTTCTGCTGGGAGTCGCGGGTGGGCGACGCCGAGCCAGCGTGGCAGTGTGGTCCTGAGCAGTGTGTGTGGGTGACTGGCGCCTGTGGGTGCCCTGTACTCCCCCCACCGGGAGCTGAGTCACTATGAGAAAGAGGTTTCCACGGCAGAGCGCGGCGCCTCGGAGGCTCTCAGCTCCCGCTCTGCTGCTTGGGTGGAGAGAAGCACTTGGCCCAGGGTGCTGGGTGCTGACTCTGACCACCCGTGACCTGAGCGTCACGCTGCCCCCAGGTGGGGCCCCGGCGCCAGCAGCCCAGTGTGGGGCCCCCTGATTCCAGGGCGACCCTGGCTGTTTACAGCCCAATTCCGGTGTCCCTAAGCACGGAAGCCAGTGGAGCAGAGCCCCTATTCCAGCTCACCCCAGACACGGGTCAGGAGGCAGGGATCCTGCCGCTGCCCAGAGGCCCAGGCCAGTGAGAGTGACTCAGCACAGCCGGGTCTCTGCGAGGGTTGCGCCCGCAATGTGGGGAGATGGCAACAAGAGGGGTGTGTGAGGGGTGCCGTCAACTACTAGCCCGACTCAACTCTTGCACGAGCACTCCTCGGCGTCAGAATGACTGGAGTTGAGAGAGGACTGGGGCCACGCCAGGCCGTGCTCACCACACTGTCACTTCACGGGGAGGAGAGAGGACACAGAAGGAGGCGAGGAGGAGGAAAGCGTCGAGGGAGGAGGGAAGAAGAGAGGAGGAGGCAGGAGCGAAGGACAGACGGGAGGGGGGCCTGAAACGGTGGGTGCTGGCTTCTCCTGCGTGGGTGCATCCGCGCCTACTGCCCACAGCCACAGAGCTTTGGCTTCATCCTCGAAGGTGAATTTCGAAAGTTCCCCACTCGGTTCTGCTCCCCCACGGCCTGGACAAGATCCTCACCCTCCACTGGCCACACGAGTGTCCTCGGAGGGGGCCGGCGCGGCTGGCAGAACTCCTTGTGACCTGCAGAAAAAACAGGGCTGGGCTGCTGTGCCGAGCGCGGGCGGTGGGGAGCCCCTGGCTGCGCCATAAAGGCCCCGGACCAGAGCTGGTGGCAGCCCCCACCCTTCCTCCTGGGGTCCGGCACGATGGCCGCGGCCCTGTGGGTCCTCGGCCTGCTGGGCTCCGCCTGCTCGGCGATGGCCAGCATCCTCGGTGAGTCCTGCACCCCAGAGCGTGCCGCAGGGGCCTGGAGGGCGCCCACGGCCCCACCTTCCCTCTCAGACCGGGGTGCTGAGCAGCGGCCCCAGGGGGGTGGCGGGTGGAGCCCAGCGGAGGCGGCTCTTCAAGTCCCCGCTGCAATTTTATCACTTTTCCAAAAACGCCCTCAGTTATGGGGAGGCCTAGGTCGGATATCAGCTGTCGGGGACCCACGCGCCCGCCTTGGGGCCACCACTACTGAGTGACTCGGGGCAAGTGCTGGTGTCCTGTCCCCTTAAAACAAGAACGCAGGAACCTCGGCCACGGGGAGTGACCGGAAGCCGCCGCCGCCCCCAGGCCAGGCCTCGGGCGCCAGGGGGTCCGGCCGCTGCGCGCTGGGCCATTGTGGGCCCGGACCCAGGCCGGGCTCAGCCCCGCGCTCCGCAGGGCGCATGCGCGCCAGGCTCCCGCGCCTTTCCGGGGCATCTTCCACCCAGCTCTTGGCAGTGTCCTCGCGAAAGCGCGCGGGTGACCCGCCTCGCGACGGGGCTGGTTTCTCAGGACACGCCTGCTGCGCCCCGAGGGTGCCCGGCCCTGCGACCAACGCTTTTCGGGCGCGGTTCAGCCCTCAGGCCGCCTCAGCTCCGGGAAGGCGCAGTGCAGATTTCGTGGGAACTTTCTCTTGCCTTTGCCAGCTGCGTGGCCTCGAGTCTGTGCCGCGTGGGCGAAAGGCAGAGGCCGCGAACACGTGCGTGCGCGCCTGTGTGTGCGTGCGCGCCTGTGTGTGCGTGCGCGCCTGTGTGTGCGCGCGCGCCTGTGTGTGCGTGCACCGGTGCCCGTGCGCGCGCCTGTGTGTGCGTGCGCGCCTGTGTGTGCGTGCACCGGTGCCCGTGCGCGCGCCTGTGTGGTGCCCGTGCGCGCGCCTGTGTGTGCGTGCGCCCGTGCCCGTGCGTGCGCCCGTGACGAAATCCTCCCCCCTCGCTCCCGCAAAGCTGCAAGTGAGACCATCTTGCTGGTGAGGCTGCTTGGAAGCGGGCTGGAGGCAGCCGGGCGGATACCGGCCCAGGGAAGGGTCCTGTCTGACCATCACCTCTGCTTTCTAGAATACCAGGTGGATGCCCAGCCGCTCCGGCCCTGCGAGCTGCGGAGGGACCAGGCCTTCCTGGAGCGCGCGGCCTATGTGCCCCAGTGCGCCGAGGACGGCAGCTTCCAGTAAGGCGGCGGCTCCTGCACCTGCAGCTCTGGGGCGCCCCAGTCCCTGCCCCGGCCCTTCACTCCCCCGGGAAGGGGAGCCCCTCTTTTTGGAGTGCTCAAGTCCCAGGCGCTCAGCTAGTGGACACAGATGAGCGCCCCTCCCCCTCTGGCCCCCGGCAGTCCCTTTTTTGCCAGCCCCACCTTGTACCATCACCCCTTGGTGAAAGGGGTCACGGTGCCTCCCCCCTGCTCCCCCTGCTCCGGGGGGCGCGAAGCCCCTCCTCTGGCCCAGTCAGTCTCCAGTGAGCCATCTCCGCTGCACTCCAGAGCAGGAGTCCGGCTTTTGTCCAGTGGCGCGGAAAGACATCTGCCCGCGCCCCCTGGAAGCCACAGGGACCTTCGTAACCTTGCAGTGACCCTCAGGGCTAGTCCTGTACCTTGACTCCGGAGCGCTGTGCCCTGGGGCACAGCAGGGAGCGCCCGCGCCCCCCTGCACACACCTCGGGGTGCCTGACGGGCTCTTACAGCTCCTGGGGCGCCGACTGCCTGGAAGCTGGAGCTGGCTGGAGCTGGCCGGTGCCCGGCCTGCTTCTTACTGACCCCCTTTTGGACGTCACACCCCCATGCACACCTGCCAGCCTCGGCTTCGCCGCGGCTTCCCTGTGTAGCCAGGCCCTGCCCTCTGCCAGCCTGGCAACACTCCGTCCCTTGAAGATTGCACACTAGTGGGATGCAGACTAGAGGGGCGAGTGACTGAGGGGTGCCACCTGCCAGCCCAGGCGGGAGGTGCTTGTCCTCTCCCTGGTGCCCCCCTCCACTCCGTGTCCCCCTGAACTACGTGGCAGGGTGGAAGGGGCAAACAGAACCTGGGTGGTGGCCATGTAAGCTGCTCACCGGCCCTGTGGTGTGCCCCTCCCGCCTCAGGCCCGTCCAGTGTGAGGATGGCGGCCGCTCCTGCTGGTGTGTGGGTGCCGACGGCCTGGAACTACCTGGCAGCAGGCAGCGTGGGCGCCCCTTGGCATGTAAGTGTGAGGGGGCTCCGCTGGACCGTCCCACGCAGCGCAGGGCGCTGGGCCGGGCCTGTGACCGCTGTGTTCCCGCTGGGGCGGTGCTTTCCCACGAATGGGCTCCCCGGCCCTCATGGGCAGCCCTGGGCCCCAGGACGGTGAAGGCCAGCAAGGCAGTCCTGTCTCCGTGAACACACTGCCGCAGTCCCGGGGAGCCGGGCCCCTGCGGGCGGGGGTGTTGAGGGGAGGACGGCAGACAGAGCGAAGGCTGTGACAGCAGGAAGCAGCCAAGTGCACCCCCCGAGTTATTGCCCCCCGCCCCAAGCTGTTCCTAACATTGGAGTCTTGGGTGAAAACAGCTGTAAAATGATGGAGGAGTCGTCAAGGAAAGAGTCCTGGCTTAAAGCAGGTTTTCGTTAAGCCTCAAGCAGAGGTCAGTGTGAGCTGGCCCTGGGACTCGGACAGATCCTGGTGGGCGCTGCCCCTCCACAGCCAGCCTGGCAGACTCGGGGCGCAGGACGGTGGCCGCTCACGTGCCGTCGCTGAGCCAGGGCCCCGCTGCGACAGGCCGGTCTGTGACGGACGCAGGCCTTGAGCTTACCCCACGGAGCTCCCGGCCCCACAGCAGGCGCCAGCAGGGGCGGTCGCCGCCCGGTCACTAATGCTCATCCGCGAGCAGAGGCGGCTGCTTTACACTGTCACGGAGACTGAGGCGCAGAGCGGGGAGGCGACTTCCCAAGGTCACACAGCCAGACAGTGGGGCATGAGCTCTGCTGCCCGCCAGCCCGGATGGCATCTGCCCTTCTCTGACCTGCTGGCATCTGCCCCTCTCCGACCTGGCCGGATGGCATTTGACCTGCTGGCCGGCGGCTGGAAGGAGTCTGGTGCGGCCGGTCCCTGAGGGCGGGCGTCTGGGCCTCCTGGCGGGGCCCTGGCAGGCTTCCGGCGCTGCCTGACCTGCTCTCTGTCCCCCAGGCCTGTCCTTCTGCCAGCTGCAGAGGCAGCGGACCCTGCTGGGCAGCTACCTTAACAGCTCGGCCGCCGCCCACCTCCCGCAGTGTCAGGCCTCGGGGGACTACGCGCCCGTGCAGTGTGACCTGCAGCAGGAGCAATGCTGGTGTGTGGACGCTGAGGGCATGGAGGTGTACGGCACCCGCCTGCCGGGGAGGCCCGCCCGATGTGAGTGGCCAGAGCCGGGCCCCGGGCCCCAGGGAACATTTCAGGGGGTTCGTTGTTTCTGCTCCGTCCACCTGGTGCTTCATCCGCGTCCTCTGCCTGGCCAGCAGCAGTGCGAGCCCCTGGGAGCCCCTGGGGCCCTTCACTGAGTCTCTGCACGGATGCAGGAGGCCCCGCGCCTGCTCCAACTTCCGAACTCAGAGTTTCCCCTTGGAAACGTCTAGGTCCCGGCAGCTGTGAGATCAGAAACCGCCGTCTCCTCCACGGCGTGGGAGACAAGTCGCCCCCCCAATGCTCCCCGGACGGAGGGTTCATGCCTGTCCAGTGCAAGTTTGTCAACACCACGGACATGGCGGTTTTCGACCTGGTGCACAGCTTCAACAGGTAAGAGCGGTGCTGGGGTGCCCCCTCCCCCCCCCCCCCCGAAGCTCCCGAGACGGCAGGCCGGAGCCATGTCCCGGCCTTCCTGCCCCTCAGCCTCAGAGGATGCAGACGGCCAGCGAAGGGGCTACGGCATTCTAGCAAAGCAAGCTGGCAACAGCTCTTAAAATGAAACTGCCAGGCCCCTGTGGCCCAGCCGGCCCTTGGACACGGCCCCCGCGTGTGCAGACACGGGCCCCGGGGGTCTCCTGCAGCCTTGCTCGCAGTGGAGACTGGGAACAGAGTGGGCCACCCAGGCGGTGGGGGATGCACGCGTTTCCTCCAGAAACCCTGCGGGGTTGCATCACAGAGCCCCCTGGCCGACTTGCAGGGGGGCGCCGATAGGGCACGGGGCTGTGAGATTCGGGGATCACAGCACGTGATTTAATTCTCAGAAACAAAAAGAGCTGCTAGTGTGCACCTGGGGTTATGCCCACGTCTGCTCGGGGCTGTGTGGGCACAGGGCAGCATGACGTGTTCAGGGCACCTGGGGTCGGCGTCGCGTGGCGGGGTGGGGAGAGGGACTCCGAGCAGGGCGGCGTGGCGCCGTGGGGGTTCAGGCAGAGCCTCATGGATGAGCGTTTGCATTTCCGTGTGTGCGTGTTCCTACAGGTAAGGCTAAGGGTTTATTTATGCGTACGAGAGCTGGGGTACAGGTCAGACGTGGGGTGGGGGGAGAAGATTCACCAGAGACTTGTCCAGAATAAAACAGGCTGATGGCCTGAAATACGCTGAGGGGAGCAGCGGGCGGACAGGGGAGGTCTGCTGCGCCCTGTGGTCACTCCCTGGCCGGGATCGGACTCGTGCCGCAGTGGCTGCGGACAGCTTCACGGTGCTGAGACTCAAGCCCTTGGGCCACCAGGGCGTCCCGTGTTTGAAGATTTAAATAACAAGCATAAAAAGGAAAATGCAGTGTCGACGTCGGTCCAAATGATCAGGGGGTGTCTGGGCAGTGGCCAGGGTGACTTCGTATTGTACAGGGACCACCCTGGCTTCAGAAACAATTTGAAATCGTCTGAGTGAAAGTAAATAGGAATATTATTCTGCAGATGTGGATGGGAATTCCCTTGGGGGGCCTGCACCTTGATGTGTCTGGATCCAATGCACCAGTTCATTTCTGGGGCGAGGGACTCCATGGCTGTGCTGGGGGACACAGGCCAGCAGCCCGTGACCTGGCGCTCCCATGTAGGCAAGGCCCGTTTGAGCTCCCTGAAACGTTTCAAAGCTGAGGAATGTGAAATTGATCTCTCTGAAGTTCCTACTCGTGTAGGTAAAAATAGTTGAACATTTTTCATACGTCCAACTGGATATACAAAACTATGCATTCCTGATTTTAAAGAAGGGGCCGAGATGGCGGCCTTGAACTGCCCCTTGGGGCCACGGCCGAGCCCCCCAAAGCTCCAGGCTCTTCCATACCCCACTGCTGTCCTCCCTCCTGCTCCACCCATCTGCCTGGCCTTCCTGGCTTCTGTGACCCTCTTGACTTGCCAGTGCTTGGCAGAGTGACCTGGTCATTTCCTCCTGTGAGCCTCTGTGTCCCCATCTGGACATCAGAGGACAGCGTCCTCCTCCTTGGAGGGCAGGGAGGCTGATGAGGGCGGGCTGTGGTGCACCGTGGAGCTTGGTGCGTGTCTGGAGGGCTGGCTCACCAGTGCCCAGTTTCAGGAGCCGACTTGGGTTCCAGTGCCCAGTCCTGGGCCCCACCCCTGCCTGGAGCACGCAGGACCTCACCTAGCTTGGGGCGTGAAGCTCATTCATGCGCACAGTGGGAGCTCCGTTGAAGTTCAATAGAGTGGGAGCTAGATAGCTCCATCCTTTTGTATATGTGATACAAACATCACTGGAAATGATGCTGCCAGCCTACAGGTGGCAAATCTGAACCACAGAGGCTGGGAACCTCCCCACCCCGGAAGCATGGCGAGTGGGTGCTGGCAGCAGCTGACTCCTGTTACTGTCCTGCAAAACTTCCATTCAGTTCTGTCCCCCCAAGGCACCCAGCAAGGAGCTTGCTTCCTCCCCAGGCACCCAGAATTCCTCAGGATGCCAGCCTGGCGCACAGTTCACAGCTCTTTCCACAAGAGGGCAGTCGAGTTAAATGCAAAAATTTGAGACTTAGCCTTCATTGTCTAAGATGGGGGAAAAGGTCCACCTGAAACGGGATCCTTTAAGCCCGTGTGTCTCAGAGGGAGTTCTTACTTTGGAAGGTCGTGGGAAGGGTCCTGGTTGGTACTGGGAGCCCAGCTGTGGTTCAGGGACTTGGAGATAAGCCACTTGGGCAGCGCCAGACTCAGAGACTCCACGGGCGGAGGGGATGGACCGTGTGGGGCAGTCCGCCTGGGCATCTCGAATTGCCAGATGAGATACAGGATGGCCAGTTACATTTGAGCTTCAGATAAGCAAGGGATACTTTTGTAGGATAAGCGTCTCCAATACTGCATCAAGATCTGTAAACTGGGGTTGGCATTTTTTTAAGAGTTATTTATGCATACAGAACTGGAGTACAGCCAGAGGTGTGGGGGGGGGGTGAGAGGACACCCCAGAGACAGAGTGGGGAGCAGAACAGGCAGATGGACGAAGTCCACTGCTGAGGGGGCAGTGGGGAGGCAGGAGAGGTCTGCCGCGCCACGTGAGTCACTCCCTGGCTGGGGATCGAACTCGCTCTGCAGTGGCTGCGGCTTTGGCTGTGCTTTAACCCGCTGCGCCAGCAGGGAGGGCCCAGTCTTCCTATTTTTCAAGTTTTAGATTTCTTGGTTTTGCTTCCTTCTTTCTTCTGATATGCCCAGAACAGTATAAAAGTGGGAAATCGGGGCTCTCCCTGGTGGCGCACTGGGATAAAGCACCACATTATGAAGCTCTCTGAAGCCACTAATGCATGAGTTTGATCCCCCCACCAGGGAGCTGACCCACACGGGGTGGCAGACCTCTCCTGACCCGCCCGCTGCTCCCCTCAGCAGTGTGCTTCGTCGATCTGCCTGTTCTGCTCCCCACTCTGTCTCTGGTGAATCCTCTCACTGCCCCTGCACCTCTGGCCTGTACCCAAGTTCTGTCTGCACAACTAAGTCTTTTTTAGTTTGTTTTAAAAAGTGAGAAATCAAGGAATCACGAGGAAGGCACCACCATGCCGCTCGCCATCGCTGAGGCTGCCTGACCCCGCGCTGTTCTCTGGCGTGGGGTTAGCGCAGGACGAACTTTTCTCATAGGCTTCCCGCACTGGCGGGTGGGCGACATTTTTAGTTTCTTTGATGCCGCTCGCTGTAAGTCTCCTGTGTCTAGTGTGACGCTCGCTGGGTGGCCCACCCAGAACAGTCCACAGCGCCACCCTCGTGCCCGGGCGGCTCTGGCTGTGCAGAGACCGTGGCGGCCACTCAGTGCTGCCTGGCGCCTTCCCCGTCCTCCGTGGAGGGGGCTCCCTGCAATCCCATCTTTGCTTCCCTGCGTGGACGCTGAGGCGTGTACTTTGCTCAGGGAGATGACGCTGCAGAAGCCCCAATCTCCGCTGCTGACTGAGGACAGAGAGAGCTCGGGAGGGGTCGCAGGCTGGCATGCCACGAGGGTGTGCCGCGGGCCACCTTCCAGGGCTGCGCCAAGATGGAAGGTTCCAGCTGGCTGCTCACGCACGCCAACCCGCTTCGCATCTCCCGGGCTGCTAATTCCCAGTGGGGGACAGCCGGGGTGTGGTGGGGCAGCGGCTGAGTCGGGGGAGGCAGGCTCCGCTTTCCTTGTATCCATGCAGACAGGACCGCACGGGTGATGTCATGTGGGTTTCGTTTTTCTAGCCCGGGCCGGGAACTGTTCCTCTTGAGAATCACGGAGAGTAGAGCCTGGCTTCTTTTCAAGCCTTGAAAGGTTGTAAAGGGACTGTGGAGATGTTTGATCTCCCAAATGAGATCATCTGCACCACACCATATGGCCGTGAAGCAGACCTGGCCCGAGTCTCCAGACGTAGGTGCTGGTGAAAGAGCCACCGCCTGCCGCCTCCCGACCTGTGTTCTGACCCAGCGGGACGTGCGCTTGGGCATAATTTGGACAAAAGCCAGGAGTGAGGAGAGCGGCTAATTAGTAGGTGACAGCTCAGCACAGCTTTATTTTACAAGGTCCTGCTGGACACTGGTCAAGTTAGACCAATCTAGGGGAAGAGATACAGTGGGAGGCGAGGAGCGAAGGGCCGAGACAGGGCAGCTCTGCTCCCCACCCCCAGGTGTGGCCACGCGCACTCGTTTCTGCAGGGCGCGGGGACGACCTGCCTAGGGTGACTGGGGCCATAAACCCCACTCTGTCCTAGGTTTCCAGATGCGTTCGTGACCTTCAGTTCCTTCAAGAGCAGGTTCCCCGAGGTGTCCGGGTATTGTCACTGCGCTGACAGTCAGGGACGGGAACTGGCCGAGACAGGTAAGCATACCTGGGTCATCTAAAGGGCCCGGGAGCCTGGGCATCCCTACCTGTAAAGCTTACGTAGCTGCGACGGCCTGAAGCCTGCCTGGTACTCAGAGGGCTTGGCCAGCAGGCGTCCACGCACGGCCCTGTGGACCTGTGCCTTGTGCGCTGGGACGAGGCAGCTCCCAGCTTGGCGAGCGGAACCCGGTGGATCTCGTCTCCTCCCACCTTCTCTGTGGTGCTTCCTTGTGCTGTGAGCAACCTGCCCAACCGTACACGGCAGCCCTGACCTTGCAAACTGTTGAGGTCTTGTGCAGACTGTGTGCGGTGATGCTGTGAAGACTCGGCCCCCTCGGTATCCGCTTGCCGTGGCAAGGGCGGGCTTCTTTCCGAGCCAGCCCAACCCTCGGGCGCTCTCTCTGCGCAGGCCTGGAGCTATTACTCGATGAAATCTATGACACCGTGTTTGCCAGCCTGGATCTCGCCTCCTCCTTTACCGAAACCACCTTGTACCGGATCTTGCAGAGACGGTTCTTGGCAGTCCAGCTGGTCATCTCTGGCCGGTTCCGATGTAAGTGTCCAGGCACCACCCAGGTGAATGCTCCTATTGGGAGGAAGGCCTGCGGGTTTTCACGTCAGTGCCATGACCACGGCTGTCCCCCCAGAGTGGGTGCCAGGTTTTAAGCGCCCGCACAGCAGGCGGGTGCATGCACACCCGCCCCCCGACTGCATGGATTTCTCCTAGGCCCCACGAGATGTGAAGTGGAGCGGCGGACAGCCACCAGCTTTGGCCACCCCCACGTTCCCAGCTGCCGTCCAGACGGGGACTATGAGGCTGTGCAGTGCCAGAGGGAAGGGCCGTGCTGGTGCGTCGATGCCCGAGGACGGGAGACCCACGGGACTCGGCGGCAAGGGCGGCTGCCATCTTGTGGTGCGTTTCCTCTCGGCTTTTCCGCTCCTTCTGGCTGGGTCGGTGAGGCTCTTTCTCCAGACCAACCCTCCAGAACCCAACAGCCACAAGCCCTTCAAGCCCAGCATTTATCATCTTTGTGTCAGACATAGCTGCTTCCGTGGGGAGCACGGAGAGAACTAAGCCTCACAGGTGAAGGAAAAGAAAATTCAGTTCGCCTGCGCCATGAGGGTAACATGTGTGGGTGACTGCAGGCAGAGAGCGGGCGCCCTCTCTACCCTGCAGTGTCTGTGAGGGGGAGACCCTCAGGAAGGCGTCATGGAAGAGGTGGCGCTTGGTCCGAGTCCTCTAAAAATAAGTGTGTTTCCTAAAGGAGGGAATTAGGAAAGGTGTTCTCGCTACATAGGGCAGGAGGCGTGACTTTTTTTAAAAAAAACAGTTTATTTTTACATCATTTTGTACATTTTTTTTCCCATCTCAATTGTAATCCCCGCGGGTTTCCCACCACCAAGTCACCCATGTGCCATCACCATAATCCCGTGCACTTCCCTCCCCCCCCTCGTTTTTGATGCCATTCCCCTCTCCACCCCCACAAAATGTCTCTGGTATATGGCTGTTCATTATCCTTGTTATTTTCTCAGGAGGCGTGACTTTTTTTTTTTTTAAAGATTTATTTATTTGTGCATACAGAACTGGGGTACAGGCCAGAGGCTCGGGGGCGGCGAGAAGATTCACCAGAGACAGAGTGGGGGACAGAACAGGCAGATCGACGAAGTACACTGCTGAGGGGAGCAGTGGGCGGGTCAGGAGAGGTCTGCCAGGCCATGTGGTCACCTCCGGGGCAGGCGGGAATCGAACTCATGTGGAAGTGGCTTTAGCTTCTTAGTGCTGTGCTTTAACCCGCTGCGTCACCAGGGAGGGTCGGGAGGCGTGACATTTTAAGGCGGTAAATAACACACACTGATGCCAGTGGGCCATGCGCCCTTCAGGAAGGAGGGAAAACGCCTGGGGGTGTGGGTGATGGTCTGAACCCTGGGACCCAGGGTGAGGCAGGCTGGGACAGTGGGGTCTCGCAGACATAGTGAAGACTTGGGGCTCACCCTTGCGGGCAGACAGTGATGGGAAAGCACCAGGATGGGCTTTCTGTGTGAGGGAGATCACCTGGGCATTTTGAGGAGAGATTGAAGGGAGCATTAGACAGGAGCAGCGTGGCCAGTGCCTAGGCCATGGCAGTGTTCCAGAGAGAGAAGAGGGACCGCTGGCTTCCCGGAGCTACTGTGAAAGCTAAGTTGATCTGGCTTAGAACAACAGGAATTTATTGTTTTCCGGAGGCTGGAAAGCCACAGTCAAGGCGTGGGGGACCGAGCCCCCTCCCTCGGCTCTGCCTCTCCCTAGCTGCGGGTTGCTGGCTCTCTGTCACTCCTCGGCGAGGGCGGGTGTGGGGCGTGGGGGCTGCTTGTCCGCACACCCCGCGTCTGTCGTCTCGTGACTGTCGTCTCTCTGTGTCTGCCACTGGGTTTCTTTCCCAGTCAGGACACCGGCCTCTCTAGCAGAGCTTACCTCATCACACCTACAATGACCTTATTTCCAGATCTTGTCACATGCTGGGCTTCCGGGAAGGACATGAATTTCGGGGAGTTATGTTCAACCCAGTAAGAGTAAGGGGCCCGACACTGATGCAGAAGCTGGGTTGGGATGGGGACAGTGTCCTGGCCATCCCATCCCGTGAGACCCTGTCCTCCCAGTCTGTCAGCGACCGGGGAGGAATCCCGCAGCTTCCCCGGGGGAGTGAAGTGATTCAGAAGATTTGAACCACCCGAGGGGAGACGGGCCTCTGAATGGCCTGAAAACAGATCCCTATTTGTGGCTATTCGACAGTTCCTGTGAATCATTCTGTTGCTCCGGCCGAGCGTTTCAGCATCTGCACGGTATCGGAGGAAACCAGCCTGCTGTGTGTGAAGACGTAGATCAAGCGAACTTTGGAGAAGTTCTGCCTTGAAGGCATTAGCCATTGCATTTCTGTGAAAACCTGGAGAGTTGTGTCTGTCACTGCAGGTGGAAACACAGAGTGTCGATTCCCAGGTGAAACACAAGAGCACGTCTCAGTTCACCAGCGTGGAGTTGGACCTTTCTCTGGGATCTCAGTCCTTTTTCCATGAAAACACATGGAATCAATAGTTGACTTTTTTTTTTCTTTTTTGCCTTGGTAACTGCATAACAAATGAATGAAAGCAGCGAACCTGATTTCTTCCACAGCTTCCTGTAAGGTCCTTCAAGGAAGCCCTGGTCTCGCGAGGGCGTCTTGTGTGCTCTGAGGCTGCCAGTCTTTTTCTCTCTCTGACCACATGTTCCAGTTCTTTCTCTGTTGCTTGGTTACAGAGCAAAATTGGCTGATTTCTTTTTTGGCATGCGTGTGAACCGAGGGGAAAGATATTTTAAAAAGTTGGGGGTAGGTGGGTGGATGGTTGAAAACCGCTTAAGATTTATGGTTTTGTGGAGAAAAATGGGGCTTACTTCCTCTGGCCTCTGTGACCGAGAAACACTTGAAATTTAGTGAAGACTTTTTCCCTAGTGTGATTATAGTCATCCTGGCCGCGCATGGGCAGATGAGTGAATCCTTAGGTAGTGACTAGCTTTCAGGACGGGAGGCATCATCATCGTCTCCAAAGAAACATTGCCTCTCCTACGTTATTATATGTTACAACACAGGAAACACTTCTTGCTGTACTAATAGCATTTGACATCCATGACATTCTAAGTGTGGTCCTTATCATCAAAGAGGCTGTCTAAAAGCCTGGACAAGTCTACCCAGAAGGAGCAATGAGACTGCCACACGAAGCCGTAGAATGAAACATTGGTGTCCATTAAGAGCCTTCTGAAAGGCAGCGTTTCATTACAAGCACAGAGGGATTTCTTGGCCTTTGGGTTTCCTGTGACTGCTGTAACAAATCACCACAGACGGGGTGACTGCTCTCTCTCAGCTCCTGAGGCAGGCGGAGTGAAGTGACAGTGTACACAGGGCCGTGTCCCCTCTGAAGGCCCTGGAGGACTCTCCTTCCTCGCCCCTGTCAGCTGCCGGTGGCCTTTGATGTTCTCAGCTCACAGCAGCATGGTCCCACTCTCTGCCCCCACCTTTGTGTGGTCTCCTCCTCGGTGTCCCAGTGTCTCCCCCTGGCCTTCTTACCAGGACGCAGGTCATTGAATTTAGGACCCACCTGACTCCGGAACGACCTCATCTGAGCAACCTGTATCTGCAAAGACCCTGTTATCAAATAAACTCCATTCTGAGGTGCTAAGTGGGCATGACTCTTGGGAGGACTAGGGAGGAGGACACCATCGCCCAGTGCAAACGGTGAGGGATGGTCAGCCTCTCAGAAGCTGGGCGTGACTGTGGAAGCCTGGCCTTGGAGGGAGTCAGGTCAGTTGGAGGAGAGGTTCCCTAAAATGGCGACCACACAGCAGCTCAGCGAGAAGGAAACAAGTGAGAGGACCAGGGAAGAGGGGCGCAGCAGGGAGGTGCTCTCCACTGGGCTTTTCGCTATTCACTACCCGAAGGAGCTGAGAGGTTGTGTCAGGGTGACGTGTGGTGGTGAAACCATTTCTCTGTTTTCTCTGTTTGTGCAGCTGGAGACCAGTCCTGTGTCTCCGCGAGGCGGCAGGCCCTGTCCAGACTCCACTTTGGGCCCGCGGGCTACTTCAGCCAGCACGACTTGTTCTTGGTTCCTGAGGAGAGGCGGGAGGACACCCCACGTGTGGCCAGAGTCACCCCGTTCTGCTCGCCCGTGGCCAGGGAGCTCTTCGTGGACTCTGGGATTCTCCATCCAATGGTGGAGGGTCAGGACCAACCCTTTGCTGCCTCGGGAAGTCTCCTGAAAGAAGCCCTTAGAGCCATCTTTCCCTCCCGAGAGCTGGCTCGTCTGGCCCTTCAGTTTACTACCAACCCAAAACGACTCCAGCAAAATCTCTTCGGAGGGAAATTTCTGGTGAATGTTGGCCAGTTTAATTTGTCTGGCGCTCTTGGCACTAGAGGCACATTTAACTTCAGTCAATTTTTCCAGCAACTTGGGCTTCCAGACTTTGACAGTGGAGGGTCACCAGTTGATCCAGCCACACCCTTCTCCTTGAGATTGGATTCTGGTCCTACTACAGGCATCCTGGAGGCCTCTGGGAAGGGTGCTGCTATGAATAAGCCTATTGTGGGCAGCTTTGGCTTGGAAGTCAACTTACAGGAGAGCCAAAAGGCCCTGAAGTTCCTCGCTTCTCTCTTGGAGCGTCCTGAATTCCTTCTCTTCTTGCAGCATGCTGTGTCTGTGCCTGAAGACATAGCCAGGGACCTGGGTGACGTGATAGAAATGGTGCTTGGCTCCGACGGCTGTGAGCAGAGCCCTGGCAACCTTTTTGTCCCCTCATGCACTGCAGAAGGAAGCTATGAGGATGTGCAGTGCTTTGCTGGAGAGTGCTGGTGTGTGGATCCCCAGGGCAAAGAACTTCCAGGCTCCAGGGTTAGAGGTAGACGGCCAGCATGCCCCACGGAGTGCCAGAAGCAAAGGGCTCTCATGCAAACCCTGTCCAGCAGCCAGCCAGCTGGGGCCAGCCTGTTTGTCCCTTCTTGTACCAGTGAGGGACATTTTCTCCCTGTCCAGTGCTTCAACTCAGAGTGCTACTGTGTTGATGCTGTGGGTCAGGTGATTCCTGGAACTCGAAGGGGACCTGGAGAACCGAATCAATGTAAGTCTGTTGGGCATCAGTCTGTAGATTGCTTCTCTCTTGGGGGCCTGGCACAATGCAAGATGGAAAAAAGAGTAGTTAGTTATTGCTGATGCCCAAGTCCTGTGGATGGCAAATGTTCAATAGAAAAATTAAATTTTTAAATATAAAAATGGAAAGTTAAGTTAAAAATTAAAAATGTAATCAAAAGTGCAAACATCCAGAGAAGTCTTGATGAGGTTTATCATTATCGAGGGTGAATAGGGAAATGCCTGGGCCTGAGGGGACCACTGCTTATGAGCCCGCAGCGTGGGCCCATGGGCGTCAGTCAGCAGTGCCCTCAAATTTCAGGTTGATGGGATGTCTGGGTCTTCCTGGGGTTTGGGACAGCTTAGGGCTTCCACTTTGCTTTTCTGTGCTCAGTCAACGTCTTGACCTGAGGCACCATTCCTTGTACCCCCAGGCCCTACCTCCTGTCAGTTGCAAGCTGAGCAAGCCTTCCTGAGGGCGATGAGGGCCCTGGGCTCCCCCGCCAGCACGCCAGCCACCCTCTCCGCCATCTACATCCCGCAGTGCAGCACCAGCGGGTCATGGAGACGCGTGCAGTGTGACGGGCCCCCTGAGCAGGCCTGGGAGTGGTACGATCGATGGAGGGCTCAGGACAGCAGTGGCCAGGAGGCGAGCCCTGCCGAGCTGCTCGTGAAGCTCAGGAGCTACAGAGAAGCAGCTTCTGGAAGCTTCCGTCTCTTTATCCAAAGCCTGTATGAGACTGGCCAACAAGGCATCTTCTCTGGGCTGGCCAGATACTCCTCTCTCCAAGATGTCCCGCTGGCGATTTTGGAGGGGAACCTGACTCGGCCTGTAGAGAACATCTTTCTGGATCCCTACCTCTTCTGGCAGATCCTAAACGGCCGGCTCAGCAGATATCCGGGGCCCTACTCAGACTTTAGCTCTCCGCTGGCACACTTTGACCTTCGGAGATGCTGGTGTGTGGATGAGACTGGTCGAGAACTAGAGGGGACCTGGGCTGAGCCAAACAAGGCCCCAGCATGTGAGTTAAACTGTGTCAGGAAATGACTGTGTGTGTGTGTGTGTGTGTGTGTGCTTTCAGGATTGTCTGGCAGAAGGATACTGGGATGGAGCTTAGCAGGCTGGGGACATCCCTGTAATGTGTGATTAAAGAAACCCAGTGGATTGTCTTTCCTGCAGCTTTAAGAGAATCCCACAGCTTTAGCAGCTGACATTTCCGTCTCAGCTCTGGAGGCTGGAATGTCCAGCAGCAAGTACTAGCAGGTCTGGTTCCTGGTGCGCCTCGGTCTGGCATGCCAGCAGCTGCCTTCTTGCTGTGCATTCACGTGGCAGAGAGAGGAAGATCTCTGCCCTTTTCACCACCGTGTAAGGCACCCCATTCTGACCTCATGACTTCACCTGACCCAGTCACTTCCCAAAGTCCTCCCCTCCAAATGCCATCCCATTTCAGGGGAGGGTTTCAATGTGTGGATATATTTTAGGGAGTGGCCCCAACATTCAGTCTTTAACACTGACGCTCATAGAAAGGAAGTTCTTTCTCTACAGCCAGGTGCTGCAGAGTTAATGTGGGCTCATCTGAACATTTTCAAATACTTTGTTACCTAGATCAGTGCCTCAGTCTCCTACATGTTTGAGCTGATGAAGGTCATAGAGTGACTGTGACCTTGCCCTCTGTCGGCTGACACGTTAGTTTGCCTCTCAGAAATGCGGTGCACCGTCTGATGAACTGATACATTTGTAGTGGTTCAGTGACTTACCCAGGCCATTGTGAAGTGCTCAAGACTTCTGGAAATACTCCTGCCTTCAAAGTGCCTTTCACTGTCTCAAGGAGCTTACTGAAAGGTTTTTAAATTAAGCCTTCTGACGATGGGCTCATAGGAAGGCCTTGAGGTATGAGGCTGAATGAACACCTGCACCTCCACAAGACCCACAGGTAGATCAATGCTCCCTCCAGCTTTGTCCATGAACACCTGTACTGTGGTATTCAGTGTGACTGGCTGAAATAAATATGGCCAGGGTGGCTTTTGTTAGTGCTGATCACTTCAAGCAACACAAGCCAGACACCGTGCCAAGCACTTCAGCTACAGCACCTCATAGGATACTTATAAAACTCCTGTAGGCACAGATGCCACTTCACATTTCACAAAACTGAAGCTCAGAATAGTTAAACGCATTATCCACAACCACAGAGCTAGTAAGTGGTCAAGTTGACATTTCAACTCAGAGATCGCTGAGAATCACTTTGTCTTCTGTTCAAACTAGCTCTACCAAACTGTAATTCCTTCCTTCAGCTGTTGATATCATCTGGCCAGTCACGTAGGCAGCCAAGTTCTGAGTATCTGTCTATCTACCCTCTCATTCATTCTTCCATTTAACCAGTCACCCATCCATCCATCTACCCATACATACATACATACATACATCATCCAGCCATCCATCATCCATCCATCCATTCATCCATCATCCATCCATCATCCATCCATCCATCATCCATCCATCATCCATCCATCCATCCATTCATCCATCCATTCATCCATCCACCCATCCATCCACCCACCCTTCCATCCTTCCAATAAAGACAGCTGGTCAAGTCCCCTGGTTCTAGAGTCATACTGTCTGGGTTAAAATTCCAAATCAACTATTTGCAGGATGGATTCTTGTCTGAGTTGTTTAACCCCTGCATGACTCAATTCTCATGTGTGATACACAACGAAGACTAAGATCATATTGGATTGTTGCATTGATTAAATTAGGTTTTCTGAGTAAATGTGCTCAAATGCTTTGCATGGAATACACATAGCTCTTATTAATCTTCTGCATAGTTGGTCCTTTTGAATTCTGAGTGAATGAAATTGTGGAGACAATGTAGAAAGAATCATCCAAGTTATGGAAAGAAGTGGTGAAGCCCTCCCTGGTGGCACAGTGGGTTAAGTCACAGCACTATGAGGCTATCTGTAGCTACTGCAGCCCAAGTTCAATTCCCGATCAGAGAGCTGACCCACATGTCTCAGCAGACCTCTCCTGTCTTCCCACTGCTCCCCTCAGCAGTCTGTTTCAGTGGATCCACCTGTTCTGCTCCCCACTCTGTCTCTGATGAATCCTCTCACCCCCCACCTCTGGACTGTACCCTTGTTCTTGTGTGCATAATTAATACATCTTTAAAAAAAAAAGTGTCGAGAAGGAAACAGCTGAGGCTGAAATGTGTGTGTGTGTGCATATGTGTGTGTGTGCATGTACACTCAGCGTGGTAAGTGACCCCGTTTCTGATGTCTTTATTCCCCTAGGTCCTGGCTCTTGTGAGGAAGTGAAGCTACTTGCCCTGCAGTTCATTAAGGAAACAGAAGAGATTGTCTTGGCTTCCAACAACTCCTTGCTCCCTCTGGGAGAGAGTTTCCTAGCAGCCAAGGGAATCCGGCTGACCAGTGAGGAGCTCGCCCTTCCTCAGCTGTCCCCCTCCCAGGAGACCTTCACAGAGAAGTTTCTGAGTGGGGGCGATTACGCCATTCGTCTGGCAGCTCTGTCTAGTGAGTGTCTGCACTTCGCTTATCTTGGTCCATCTCTTTGGGGGAAGCCAGAGCTTGAACAGTCTTCACCATCTTCAGGACTTCGCTGCCTTGGTTTCCACAGCTCCGTGGGTCTGGGAGAGGAACGGCAGCAGGCTCTGTGATAGCAGTCTGAACTGGAGTGGCCTCAGCCCTCCAGAGGCCCCAGCACAGCCCCCTGGGGGCGCCATGCTGCCTGATGTGCAGGGGCCCAGCACTTCTTACCTGCCTAGCAGAGAGAAATGTGCTGGGGGCACTCTGGCCTGCCAGAAAACTCACCCCTGGGGTGCACATTGCCCTGCCAAGTAGGCCTTTGCATTCGACCCAACAGTTGCATGAGGAGGCTGCGGTAAGCGCCGCTCTGCAGAAAGGGAGCTGAGGCTCAGTTCATGGTCAGGTTCACGCCCTCAGCCCTGACCCCGGGTGGTCCGCCCATGCCTCTGCCCTGCTCAGCTGGTGCCTGCACAGCTGACTGGGGACCGGCCTCCTCCTGAGCCCTTTCTGTTCCTCCACCGCCCTCACCCCGTGTCCACTTGGCAACATGCGATCTCTTCGGGCCGTAGCGGGTTCCCAGCTGATGGCACGCTACAGCTCCATGGACCTAGGTCACAAGGCCAGCAACACAGTTCTTGATCATGTCCATGCCAGTCCTGCTGACCCGTTCCTGGGAGGGGCTAGGCCAGGGGCCGGGCTCCGCTGTCTCTGCTTTGTTCTCCTCACCCACGGGAGACCCCCCGTGCCACCTCCGTTCCCACCTCGCCACGAGGCTGCTCTGTGGGCCGGCGGGGCCGCTCGAGCGTCTGCCTTAGCTCCGTGACGTTCCTGCACCAAATGCATAGAACGCTGGCTTGGAGGAGACACCTAAACTAGACCAGGAAACCCAGCGGTGAGCAGCTGAGGCGGCCGGAGGAGTGGCCGGCCGGGCAGGAGGACGCGGCGTGCCGAGCGCGGGGTCAGCCCTGGAGACCCGTCACTCCCCTCACGGAGTCTCCCCACGGGGTCAAAGCCAGACTTACCAAGCCGTGCTAAGCTCCCGCGAGATCGTGCGAGAACAGTTTTGAAAGGCGTCAAGAACCGAGCGATGAGAGCTTAGCAGGAAGGCCGAGAGGACAGTTGACATGGCTGACTTTGGGGTTCAAGTCAGCCCTCCAGTGGGAACCCCCTGCGCCTGAGATTCCCCCCATGAGGTGGGATCCCATCACTGTCTTAGAGGATCACACTTCATTCATGTGCTGAGGTCACGTCTGGCACAAAGTCAATACCTGATAAATGTTCTGGCTGGCTCGTGTGCCTGAAGCCGCCTCGCGGGCTCGTGTTGCCTGTGAGGGCAGAGGGCCCAGAGTCCGCCCAGCTGCACGCAGCCCTGTTTGCCGAGCGCAGCCTGCCAGTGTCGCGGGGCACCTGAGGGAGGCGGCGGCCCTGAGTCAGAGGCCCTGGGCCGTGGCAGGCCCAGCTGGGCTCCGCAGCCCCCAGCCAGCCGCTCACCTCGGCCCCTTCTCCCTGCAGCTCTCAGCTTCCACCAGAGCCGAGGCCCCGCCCTGGGCGGCTCCACAGACGGCTCTGCCCCGTGGCCGGCGGGCCCCTACGTGCCGCAGTGCGACGCCTCCGGAGCTTGGCAGCCCGTGCAGTGCCACGCCGGGACCGGTGAGGGCTTCGGGCACCAGGGGAGGGCGGAGTTACCGACACCCCTCCTTTCTGCATGGAGGAAAGAGCTCGCCCTGGGGGCGAGCGGGCTGACCTCGGGTCCTGCCTTGGCAGCTCACGTCTCGGAGCTCCTCTGGCCTTCGTGGTCTCTTTTCCATCCCAGCAACAGTGACCTTCTCCCAGCCTGAAGGTCAAGCGAGTAGTTTCTGGGGCTTCGGGGTGCTAGGACCTGTGACGTGGACAGTGCTGAGCGGGGATGGGGGAGTTAAACGAGGGGCCCGGTGGCCCCTGCTGCAAAGCAAACGGAACGCTGCTGGGGGCTGGCGATGCCCGCCAGCCCCCTGGCATGCTGCTCCGGCTCTTTTCCAGGCCACTGCTGGTGCGTGGACGGGAAGGGAGAGTACGTCCCCGCCTCGCTGACCGCCCGCGCCCCTCGGCTGCCCCAGTGTACGTGGAGCCCGTGAACCCTTCAGCTGACCCCGAGGGGACACCTGGGCTGTGGCACCCGCCCGGGAGGCCCCGTGACCCCGCCCTCAGCCCCGCCAGGGCCGTGGTACCCACCCGCCCGGGAGGCCCCGTGACCCCGCCCTCAGCCGCACCCCCAGCTGGAGCACAGGCTCGCCAGGCCCTGGGCCGGACCTGTCTCAGCTCTTGACCCACCTGGGCTTGGCCAGGTGGGAGAAGCTGCGGAGAGCGGGAAGGGGCCCCGGGCGTCCTGGCAGCTGCCCCGCGCTTCCCACCCACCGGAGCTCCAGCACCTGCTCACGCCAGTCCTCCAGTGGCGGTCACAGGCCGCGGCCCGGTGCCTCACCTGCTTCTCTGAGTCCCCGGCCTCTGGGCTGCCCGGCCCCTCCAGCCCTCAGAGACCCAGCCCGGCCCCTCGGCCGGCAGGGCCCCCTGGCCCGGCCCCCCCTGCTAAGAGCTCGCCCTCCCCACACAGGCCCCACGCCCTGCGAGAAGTCCCGCACGAATGCGCTGCTCTCCGGCTGGAAACAGGCTGGGTCCCGAGGAAGGCCGTCTCCCGGAGACCTGTTCGTCCCCGCCTGCCTGCAGGTAAGGCTCCGGAGGCCAGAGAGGGGGCCAGGCTCTGGCACAGGGTGAGGGAGAACCTGTCTCGTTCTTGCCGCTTTGTTTTAGTTCAGAGCTCACGAGAGGCTGTAACCTAGTCCAGGTGGACCCCGGCCATGTGGCCTGGGCTTCACTTCCCTCCCCCCGGGCTCCAGTGTGTTTCTATATGAGAAGATTGGGCCACCTTTGTACCCGAGGGCGAGACACTCCTCACCCCCCAAGCCACATCCCTCACGGAAACTCGCTGCCCGCATCCTCTCCCTGAAGCCATCTTGTCAGAGTCGGTCTGCCCATGCCCCGTGTCCAGGATGGGGGGGACACGGCACTGCGCCCTCCCGCTCCCCGTGGCCTGTCGTCAGTGAGGCAGCTGGTGTGGAGGCGCCTCAGGAGGGGCCGGTGGGCTTAGTGCGCGCCCAAGCGCTGGCCACTCCCCTCCCCCAGCCTGCCTGGCGCCCAGGGCCTTAGGAGAAGCAGATGCGGTTGGCAGTGGAGACGTGAGCGTGTTTGTAAGCCACGGGGCCACGTTTCTCTACTGTGGTCCCTTACCCTCTTTGGGGCTGGGAGCATGGGTCCCGGGCCCAGCCCCACCCGTTGGAGCAAGAGTCTGCACCATCGCTCTGGACACCGAGCTTCGCCCGTGGGGTCCACTAGACACCACAGCCTCAGACAGAAGGGTCCAGAGAGGGCCCTGAAGCCCCATTGGGTTCCCAGCCTGGTCTGGGGAGGCCCGCAGCTCCCACCCTGGATAGTCGAGCCTTTGGCCCTGCCTCAGGAAGGGTCCAGTGACCTCTCAGCCCTTTGCTTGGGTTTGCATCTTCCCCTGGACCTTCCAGGCTCTGCCAGCTGGGCAGCACCCATTCCAGGGCCTCTCTGAGTGGGCGGCCCCGGCAGGGCTCTGCCTCTTGGGAACGGACGGCTCCCGGGGTGGGCCTGGTCAGCCGGACGGGCCTCGCGGCTGCCGGCCAGCATCAGGGGCTGGCGGTGTCCTCGTCCGGGAACAGCACACGTGGTCCACGCGGTGGACAGGGGCCACACACCCAGGGGCACTTCAGGGCAGCCAGGAGGGGTGGGCCTGGCCAGCAAGCCGCCACTCTTGGCACGTCTTGTAGTGGGCGGGGGACGGGAATCTGCCGCTGTCAGAGCACTCTGGTCCCTCTGTAGAACTTCAGAGAGGGAAACTGAGGCCTGCCCAGTGTTTCCCCCTGGCCTGGCAGAGGCCGGGGGGCCCAGGTCTGACATGCACATCACTACCATGCACAACACTGATTCCTTTCTCTGGGAAGCTTGTTGCAAATCATTCCTGGAACTGGGGGGCTTAGGGTGCAGGAGTGACTGGGCTCTGGGGGGCTGAGACGCAGGCCCCTCCCCAGCCATCCCCATCTGTGAGGCAGCCAGGGGTTGGGCCCTCGTAGGACAGCGCTGTGGAACCCGTGTCCCCTCACTGGAGAGGCCGTTGCCAGCAGTTGGGGAGGGACACTCCTGACAGCTGCTCACGGCCTGGCTTTATCCCAGACAGGGCAGTATGCCCGGCGGCAGACTTCGGAAGGCGGCAGCTGGTGTGTGGACCAGGCCTCAGGAGAGGGGGTGCTGCCTGGCACGAACGCCAGCGGTCCGTGTGAGTAGGCCCCTGCCCTGCCCAGCCTCGCCGTGAGCGCGGGGTATGGCCACCCCAGGCTGACTGCCCCAGGCCCAGCTCTGCCGCTTTGACACTGTGGGTGCCCTGACCTATTGTACCTTGACTTGCTCACCTGTAAAATAGGGTGATGCCCCCCCACACGTGTCCTTGGCAGGGAGTGAGGCTGTGGTTTGCATCTGAGGGTTGCAGCCAGTCTGGTTGCATGCGAGTGGGCACTGGCGCTTTTTGGGGTGATCCACTGTGGCCCCGACACTACGCTTGGGCCTGCACCTGGCCTGGCTTCCTCTCCACGGAGGGCCCAAGATGCGGTCCCCACCGTACCGGGCCCCCTCCGGGGTGAGGCTGCCCTGGCTGCAGGTCCGAGCTTCAGCCGTGGCTCCTGGGCCCCACTGTCCTGTCCCGTGTCTCTTCTGCTTCTCTCACTTCACCAGCGCTCACACCCCAGGGCTGTTGTCACCAACGGCGCGCAGACTTTCAAGAAGTGCATGCTTCCTGCACCCTGTTTCTGAGCCTGCTCTGCCGCCAACCCCCCAGGCAGGAAGTCACTGGGGCCTGGCCGGCAGGGCTGAGCAGGGGCCTCCCCGCGGCCCAGGGGTCCTGCCCGTCTGCCGCTGCCCCTGTTACCTCCGAACTGTAATCGTCCACTTGCCAAGTCTCCCTTAAGACTCTTCTCTTGAGAGCGTGTGCGTGTCTGTGTGGTGCGTGCCCATGTGAGTGTGTGTGCCTGTGAGTGGGGCGTGGGGTGGGCGGGTCCAGAGCTCGGCAAAGCTGGGGTTGGCCTGTCCTCATCCAGTGCCCCAGCGGAGGGCAGTCCAGGGCTCGAGGACCACGCGGGCGGAGGGGTGATGCTGGGCGACACTCTGGGTGCTGGCAGCCCCTGGGCACAGTGGGGGCCCCATCCCATCTGACTCGCCTTTGTGTCAAGGCCCGAGCCTCTGTGAAGCTCTTCACGATGGGATCTCCTCTGGGAGCACCGGCCCCGGCGCCGCCCCGCCGTGCAGGGCAGAAGGTGGTGGCTTCTCCCCAGTGCAGTGTGACCCGGCCCAGGGCAGCTGCTGGTGTGTCCTGGCCAGCGGCGAGGAGGTGCCCGGGACCCGCGTGGCCGGGAGGCAGCCTGCCTGTGACAGTAAGCCCCGAGCCCCCGGGGCGGGCCCGGGCTGGAGGGGTTCTGCTCCTGTGCTGTACCCCGGCGGGGTGCCCGGAGCACGCGGCAGGCGGCGGGGAGCACCAGAGGCCTGTGGTCGCCCTTGGCCGTCACCGTCGCGCAGTGGAAACTCGTGCCGCTTCCTGAGCGAGCTGGCCCCTCTCGCTCTGCAGGTCCGCAGTGCCCGCTGCCCTTCAGCGTGCCGGGGGTGGCTGCCGGCGTGCTCCTGTGCCAGCCGGCCTCGGGCCCAGGCGGGGCGGCCACCCAGCTGTGCCGGCTGTTCTGCCGCCAGGGCTACCGGAGCGCGTTCCAGGAGGGGCCTCTGGAGTGCGGCCTGCAGGGCAGACGATGGGTGTCACAGCCGCCGCAGCCCGGGGCCTGCCAGCGTGAGTCACCTCGGGGCGTCTGCCGGCACCCCCCTTCCCTGCAGGACCTCAGACTGGGGCTTTATTTTCCTCTCTCAAGTGTAGCGTTTCCTGGTAAGCCCGGGGAGGGCCTTCTAGAAGGAGCAGAGCTGCGTCACGGCGCACACCCTGATCCTCGGACGGCTGCCTTCGTGGCGGCCCTCCGGGGAAGTCTTGGCTCTGGGGCTGCGGTCAGCATGCAGGTGTCCACGCTCCACGGTGACTATGGTGACCGGGTCGGAGCTCCTCGCCTGGCGTCTGGGAGGGGCCCAGCCTCACCAGCCTCTCCCAGGTCTGCCTGGGGCTCCAGCTCTGCTGGAACAGGACTGGCCCTCCGGAGGGGTGGGCATGCAGAAACTGGCAAGGTTGCTCACAGCCGGCAGGGCCAGGGGTGGGTGCCGGGGCCTGCCACTGGGCCCGCCAGGGCAGTAGGAGGGGCTCTGGGGCTGTAGTCCGGGTCATGGACTGATTGTGACGGGTGCTGGGTGGCTGTCAGAGGGCAGTGTTTGCAGCAGAGCATTCTGGGAGAGAATGCTGCTGGTAAGTAAATGGCCTGGCCCTCTCCCTATGCAGAGTGGCCAGCGCTGAAACCAAGACACAGTGGTCATGGGGGATCGAGAGCAAGGGGCTTGGGCAAAGTGAGGTTTGGCCCCGGAAGTGGGTTGCAGGGCTGCCCCGGACAGTTGGCCATGGTGTGCACTGAACAACTATCTCGGTGTACGCCTTTCTTAGACTGTGGTGTCTCATCAGAACCAGCAGAACCCCTTAGCCTGGTCCTGTGTGTGTGGAAGATTTCTGACTGGCCAGGATCCCCAAATGTAAAGCACCTGTTTTAGCAGCTGAGGAGGGGCTGACTCGCCAGGCGGCATTTGCTGAGTAGTTTCAGAGCCAAGCCGTCCTGCTTGGAGGGATTCAGACACCGTGGATGACAGAGCAAGGTGGCAGGGCCTGTCTGTGCCAAGCTAACTGAGGAAGGGCCGTTGTAGCAGGGAAAGCCCAACAAGAAGAGTGGCCCGCGGCCTTCAGCCTGCGTCCGCTCACCTCCGGCGCTCGCCTGCAGGGCCCCAGCCGTGGCAGACCTTGCAGGCCCGGGGGCGGTTCCAGCTGCAGCTCCCGCCCGAGAAGAGGTGCAGCGCGGACTATGCCGGCTTGCTGCAGGCCTTCCAGGTCTTCGTGCTGGATGAGCTCACCGCCCGGGGCTTCTGCCAGGTCCAGGTGTGCGCCTGCTCCCCAGTGCATGTGGGTCCTCAGAGAGCCTCGAGGCTCCAGGGTCGGCCCGGGTGAGGCGGCCGCTCGGCCCAGGCTAATTACGCCCGCGGGAGGGGCCTGTAGCGTCTCCTCACTGTCCGCTGCCTGGCGCTGCGCACAGTGTTGCTGGCGTGGCCTCGCCTGTCGTGCCCAGGG